GCGTCGACCTTTACTTTTCCGATGGCCGTAAAAGCACCGTGGCTGGTGCGGGGTCGCGTATGCCTATCATTGACGATAGCGCAATGAATATCCTCGAGAACTCTGCGTCAATCAGTCGACTGCGCCAGAGTAGATGTGCCATTACTTACTCGACATAACGAACGAGTGGTTGGCTAAAAGCCTCGTCGACAACCCTATCCTGTGGAGGATACTCGAGCGAGTCGATTTGGTTCTCACAGCCCACATGTATTCCTCCAGACGCGTACAAGGTCACTCCAGTCTCCTTGATTATCGTCGATGGCCTATGATAACCGTCAGGCGACATTATGCGGGTTTGTGTGCTTACCTGCTTGACGTCGATGATTGACTTTGTTGCTCTGCAGGCTGCTTTGAGAGGAGCGAGGATATCCGAGGCCTCTGCTATGTTTGCGACTACATCCAGTGCGATACTGGCCGTATTTTGGACTTGATCCTTCTTGCCTGGCGATCGTCCTGCAGCATTCGAGGGCCCCTGATTCAGTTTAGTCGACTTTTGAGATGACATTGCGGAGGTGGAATCCAAGTCAAGGACGGCGTCTACCACTCTCTGCCGCATATTCTCCACGAGCCAGTCGAATCTAACTATTAGAGTAACAATACATCCAGTCTTAATGCACGATTCCGACAGTCCAGGGAGCAGTCAAAGGTCTCTAACCTTGGCGAGTCGTCCAATGGCCCCTGCGTGTGTAGACTGCACGATTCGCAATTGGAACGCGGCAATTGTAACAGCGACTCCGAGGATACGCTGACTAGATCACGGCTATCGCGCTCTCACCAGACGACTCACAGATTGTCTCTGGGTAGTATAAGACAATTCGACATTGGGACGTAGACAGTGGGCGGCAATCAGGGCAACCACTTTGAACTCACAGCCAATTGGTAGAGCAGAGGTCACCATATTCACGCGTATGACAGAGTTTAAGAAGACAGATGACGAAGTAAGGAGAGAGAAGGAAATGACATTCTCGACTATCCCATATCTGTCGTAATAATATACAGGTGAGCAAGGACGAGTATGCCTGCTCTACCAATCTTCCCAGAGTGCGCCGGTTCGTGCCAATGGGTAAGAGACACTGGTTGCAAAAAAGGAAAATGGGGTTCAGAGGACCTGATACAGTTGGAGGGAAAGGATGGGGTCAAAGTAGTGAGGAACTCAAGGACGAGAAACGTCATTTGCATTGACACCGTCGAGATTTCGAGGTGCAACAAAGAGAAAGAAAGAAAAACTGATAGGTGTGCTGGTGGTACGAGTTCAGAATAGTCTGGACGGTTGTGTCATGGAAAGCGACGCTGCTAGGCATGCTTTTTCACTCTTCATGCAATGCCATAAGCAATTGTTTTCCTGTTCGAGGATTTTACTGGCTGCGTTTCCAGGTAATTGGCTGTCTTAAACTGTCACGGAGAGTTCGGTGAGGTCGCTTTGGACCGACGTCGTCGACCACCAATCTGTCGCGTCTCTAGCTGTTGAATTGCCAACAGACGTTCCACATTCACAATTATTTCGAGATCCCAGTCCGTCTCCTCATTTCAGCTTTTGTGACCGCTGCCGCCTCAGTGGAATTTAACAAGACAATGTTCCCAATACTATTCAAATAAATTACGTTCTCTGAGACATTGACTCGTGTTGCCAAACTCTTTTGCCAGCCTCCTGAATCCAGCAAAGAACGAGGCTTGACCTCTACCTCTACCAGGCGGCTGAATTTGCAGCGCCCTTGTTATACACGCGCTACTACTCAGGTTGTGCGATTCTTGCGAACCCGTGCTCCCACCAATCCGGACGTCCCACGAACGGTTAGCCAATATCCAACCCTGTAAAGCCAGATCCCAATATTTTACAGTTCTCCGATGTCGAAACCAGAGATCAAACATTATGGATTCGGAGTTATTCCCCGAAAGGAGCCCGTCGTCGAGTAAGCCATCGACCCCGCCACCGCTGCCGCGATTGCTTATCGCTACCTTCGCTGCATCAGCGTTGTTGCTATCCATGGTTTAGACGGTCATAGAGAGAACACCTGGACGGACGGTGGAATCCTTTGGCTGAGCCATTTCTTGCCCCTCTCGTTGCCCCGCGCTAGAGTTCTCACGTACGGGTATGATGCCGATACTCAACACGAGACATGCGTATCGACACAGAATATACATCGGCATGCTCAGAAGCTAGCTCAGTCCCTTTCAATGAACCGTAAAGACGACCCTCGTGTGCGTGCAGGCTGTACTTATTTGGTGACTTCCTCTCATCCATCTTAGCGTCCCATCATCTTCATCGCACACGATCTTGGAGGTATCATTCTCAAAAAGGTTTATCAGATGAACTTTAATTCAACTAGATGCTGACAGTCTCCAGGCACTTGTCATCTGCCACAATCAGACTCTAGATTCGGAAGGAGTCCTCCGAGATATTCTGGTATCCACACATGGCATCTTATTCTTTGGAACACCACACTCTGGTCTGGACGGCAACTTTCTTGAAAGGCTCAAGCGCTCGGCACCCTGGCGCATGAAAACGACCGAGGTGATCACAAAAGATCTCGAGGCACACTCGTCCGAACTCGAAAATATACAAAGTTTGTATGTCGAAGCGAGTAAGAAGATAACCAGCGTATTCTTCTGCGCGGATTACGCAAACGCCACGAATGAAAAGCGACCACGAATGGTTAGCAGAACTACCCACGGATGGAATCAGTACTGATTAGACCCTAGAATGTTCCATACCACTCGGCGACCATCCCGGGCGACCGTAATGCCACAACGATTGTCCTCTCGTGTGACCATCAGAATCTGGTCAGGTTTTCTGATCCAACGAGCGAAAGCTACCAGACGGTTCTGTATCATCTCGACGCGTGGTGCAAGTCGGCCCCCGATTCGGTGAAGGGCAACTGGAATATAGAGGACAACTTACGCAGTTCGTCAAATTTTCATTCCAAATAATTGGCTCTCATTCGCATTCAGGTTCTGCCAAAGGAAATCATCATCCATCGGGTGAGTTGGACTGCTGTAGCCGAAAAACTTGCTAAGAAGTTCCAAGCCGACGCATCTCTGTTATTCCAGTTACCAGAGGTGGCATTTGTTGCATCCTCGGTTCATAACAAGTGTCTACAAGGAACTCGACAGGCTGTCCTCCAGACAATCCAGAATTGGGCTGTGGACGATACCTCGGATAAGCCAATATTCTGGCTCTGCGACATAGCCGGCTCTGGCAAGTCCACAGTTGCAATGTCAGCAGCCGCGTCATGGCATGTGGACGGAAAGCTCGGAGGGCAGTTCTTCTTCTCGATGGCCAATAGCGATACATCGACAATAGAAAAGTTCTGCTCGACCATGGCAAGAGATCTTGCCCAACACATTCCCGAACTCGCACCCCACGTCGCAGATGCCGTCAAACGGAACCCATCCATCATGCGGAGTTCGTTGGAGGACCAATTCCACACACTCATCATCGATCCACTCCGTCATCGAGACGGACGCGTCGTTCTTGTCGTCGACGCCCTAGACGAATGCAAATCTGGACCTCAGCGAAAGGAACTTGTCGACACGCTTGCTAAAGCCGTCCAACAAAGCAAGGAACTCAAGATATTCATCACGAGTCGGCCAGATGCCGTCATCGAATCGGTTCTTCAACCACTCTCGATCAAATGTAAATTGGAAGACCGGCTGCATGATGTCAAACATCGTGACAACGTAGATGACATCGCGACGTATGTCCATCAATCACTCTGCACTGTTCTACCCGAGGACAAGAGACGGCGGCTGATTGAGAAGGCGAGGGGATTGTTCATCTGGGCGAGCACCGCATGTCGAATGATCAACAACGAAACAACATGGGACACGCCTGAGAACATATACGACTCATTGGTCTTATTGGACCAAAGTGGAGACATCGACGACGTATACAAGCTCATCTTCGAGCGGATAGATCCCAAATTCCATACCATCATGTGGAGCATGCTTGCATTACTGCTTGCTGCATTCGAACCACTTACCTCCGAGGATCTAGACAATATTCTCAAGCATAGTAGACTACGGGGACATTCAGGGTGTTGATTCGAGAACTTGGAAGTGTTCTTATCGAAGATGAAGCAACAAAAGTCATTCAGTTTCGTCACCTACTCTTGTGGAATATCTGCGACGGCGCTGTCTAGGCCCAGACCTCAAAGACTCGAGTGGAATGTATATCGACATCGCCAATGCGCACGGTCAAATTGCATCGTGGGGTTTCAATAAACTTCAAGCACCGAAGGAAGGCCTCAAGTTCAATATATGTGAAATCGAGTCGTCCTTCTATCGAAACAGAGAGATGCCGGATCTAGAGGCAAGAATATCAAAGTTCATCAGAATGAACATTCGATATGCGAGTTTACACTGGCCGTTTCATATGGAGAAACGGATAGCAAATGGAGAAGCAAGCTCAAAATGAAGTTGAACATATTATTCGAGTCCCATATGTACTATATTGGATGGAGGTTCTGAGCCTGATTGGAGGACTGCCTCGAGCTATAGATGGGCTCCGAGCTGTGATGCGCAATACTGTGAGTGGCTCGCCTCGGTATATTCCGCAAATTTTTTAACAAAGGAAAGGTTGAAAAAGAGACTAAGGGTCGCATAAGTGAAGTGATGCGGTTTATGATGGCATTTTCAGTACCTATTCAAGAGAGTGCTCCACATATCTACATTTCGGCGCTTCCGTTCACACCTATAGGATCGCATATGCATATGGAGGGGTTATCAATGTATAAGAACACTCTCAAAGTGACTAAAGGGCTGGAAAAGTCATACCAGGGACTTCCAGAAGCGCTTCGGGGACATACAAATGGAGTCACGGCAATCGCATTTTCACCAGACGGCTCACGCATTGTCTCTGGATCGGATGATAAAACGATTCGACTATGGGATGCGGAGACGGGCCAGTCGTTGGGAGAACCACTCCGAGGCCACACAAACTGGGTCAGGGCCGTCGCATTCTCACCAGACGGCTCGCGAATCGTCTCTGGCTCGCACGATCATACGATTCGACTATGGAATGCGGAGACGGGCCAGTCGTTGGGAGACCCACTCCGAGGCCACACAAACTCGGTCAGGGCCGTCGCATTCTCACCAGACGGCTCGCGAATCGTCTCTGGCTCGGATGATAACACGATTCGACTATGGAATGCGGAGACTGGCCAGTCATTGGGAGACCCACTCCGAGGCCACACAGACTGGGTCACCGCCGTCGGATTCTCACCAGACGGCTCGCAAATAGTCTCTGGCTCGGCTGATCATACCGTTCGACTATGGAATGTGGAGACGGGCCAGTCGTTGGGAGACCCACTCCGAGGCCACACATCCTGGGTCAGGGCCGTCGCATTCTCACCAGACGGCTCGCGAATTGTCTCTAGCTCGGATGATAAGACGGTTCGACTATGGAATGCGGAGACGGGCCAGTCGTTGGGAGACCCATTCCGAGACCACACAGACCGCGTCAGCGCCGTCGGATTCTCACCAGATGGCTCGCGAATCGTGTCTAGCTCGGATGATACGACGATTCGACTATGGGATTCGGAGACGGGCCAGTTGCTGGGGGACCCAGTCCGAGGCCACACAGACCCGGTCAGCGCCGTCGCATTCTCACCAGACGGCTCGCGAATCGTCTCTGGCTCGGATGATAACACGATTCGACTATGGAATGCGGAGACGGGCCAGTCGTTGGGAGACCCACTCCGAGGCCACACAAACTCGGTCACCGCCGTCGCATTCTCACCAGACGGCTCGCGAATCGTCTCTGGCTCGGACGATCATACGATTCGACTATGGAATGCGGAGACGGGCCAGTCGTTGGGAGACCCACTCCGAGGCCACACAAACTCGGTCAGCGCCGTCGCATTCTCACCAGACGGCTCGCGAATCGTCTCTGGCTCGTACGATCATACGATTCGACTATGGAATGCGGAGACGGGCCAGTCGTTGGGAGACCCACTCCGAGGCCACACAAACTGGGTCACTGCCGTCGCATTCTCACCAGACGGCTCGCGAATCGTCTCTGGCTCGTGGGATAACACGATTCGACTATGGAATGCGGAGACGGGCCAGTCGTTGGGAGACCCACTCCGAGGCCACACAAACTGGGTCAGGGCCGTCGCATTCTCACCTGACGGCTCGCGAATCGTCTCTGGCTCGGACGATCATACGATTCGACTATGGAATGCGGAGACGGGCCAGTCGTTGGGAGACCCACTCCGAGGCCACACAAACTCGGTCAGGGCCGTCGCATTCTCACCAGACGGCTCGCGAATCGTCTCTGGCTCGGGACGATCATACGATTCGACTATGGAATGCGGAGACGGGCCAGTCGTTGGGAGACCCACTCCGAGGCCACACAAACTCGGTCACCGCCGTCGCATTCTCACCAGACGGCTCGCGAATCGTCTCTGGCTCGCACGATGATACGATTCGACTATGGAATGCGGAGACGGGCCAGTCGTTGGGAGACCCACTCCGAGGCCACACAAACTGGGTCACCGCCGTCGCATTCTCACCAGACGGCTCGCGAATCGTCTCTGGCTCGCACGATCATACGATTCGACTATGGGATGCAGAGACGGGCCAGTCGTTGGGAGACCCAGTCCGAGGCCACACAGACTGGGGAGGCGCCGTTGCATTCTCACCAGACGGCTCGGAAATCACGTCGGTTCCAGCTGACAGCACAATTACACTATGGAAAACCGCATTTGGTTCGTTCCACTTCATTTCTTTTTCGCCCGTGATGCTGGAAGCTTACAGATTCCCGTAGCCGAGTTATCCAACCATAATGGTCAGCTGAGTCAGTCAATCCAGGATGGCCTTATCTCGCATCAAAATACCCTGGCTTTATTGAAAGTTATGCTTTCCCAGCTCCGAACATTTACTCTCTCTGATGACGGTTGGGTGTATCTCTCAGGGAAACTTCTATTTTGGGTTCCACCAGACAATCGGCTCTCATTGACGTCTCCACTCCTGCTCACCTTACCAACGTCCAGCCCTCCCTACCCAACCAAAATAGATTTCACACGGTTTGAATGTGGCTCCTCTTGGACAAAAGTCCGAGGCAGCGTCAATCAATGAACCTTAGCGAGAGAGAAGAGAATCATTACCTTAACTTTGTACTTACGAGGCTCGGCTATCGGATCCTGCAAATAATCACCGTAGCTTTGCGATTCAAACGTGCATGGATGAACGATCTATACCATGGCCATCGTGTTCGAACCATACCCCTCCATATTCTAGATCAGCTACGTGTTATTCCAGATCTATCAATCATGCGAGTCCGCGAGGTGGTCACCAAAGTTCCAGAGGCCAATTGGCACGACCCGATTCCAACCTACGCAACCGCCAGAATGAATAGCAGCCGGAATAAAAGACACACAACAGATTTCCCCCTTTCCCGATTCTTTCTCAGTCCTCGTCCCACCGCTCCCGTAATGTCTTTCTCCCTTTAAACCCAGGTGGAAGTCCCAGTTCTTTGACAACGCCACAGAGATTGTGCTTGCGTCCAAGAATTCCTCCATTCTCATGCAGTCCCATCCTAAGACATTGAAAGATGGGAATTGCCTGACTGAGTACGGCACGTTCCCCATGCCACTCGGCCGTGGTCGCGTTACGGCGGAGATCAGCATGGGTAAAAAGCATACCGGATGAAAAAAGTCCAGAGATGATGATAAGTGCCAGAAAGTTGCCGTCTATGCCAATGCTGGCGAATGTCGTCGGTGCATTTAAGCGGAATCGACGACCCCGCACTCCGAGCTCGTATTCCTGTCGTTAGAGATGAACAATGAGCTGGCGGCCTTTTTTAGATTGAGTTGTGGTTGAAATTAGGGAGCAGACATGATCACCCAGAGGATAAAGATGCCCGCAAAGGCGAATGAGATAGGTCGGAGGTTCCATGCGATGAGATTCCATGTCCGGAAGAGGCAGATCGAGGCGTAATAGCATACTCCATCCCGAAACAGGATGATGAAAAGGTGAGATGAAAAGCAAGCTCCCGACGGTTCCCGAGTCTGGTAGATTCTGATCGTCGAAATGACGAAGACGGTTGTCTCGAAAAGCATGGAGTCAATCCATATGAGCTCCATTTCCTTTGGATGAATGGCTGCGGAGCATATGCGGATAGTTAGCGAAAAGAAAATCTTGTTGCGGTCATGAGGACGTATTGGAGGATGAAAGGAAAAAGTATACGACGAGCACGGTGCCCAGAATACGTCGCTCACTCCCGACAATAGTGCGGGTACGTGCCAGAAGTATCGAGAGCATTCCGACATGGCCTCTAGCGATCCGACTTACCAGGAAGTAGAACAGCTTGAGAATACTCCACCAGTTTGTCCATAAGAGCTCGACCTGGAGGATGAGGTCGACGATATATCCCTTTAATTGTGGATCCATACGAACCCCGTTACCGATAATGAGAAGTATGTCGTAGATCACAAGGGCGACTGAGGCAGCTACGAGTGCATCCGCCTGTTAGCGGAGGCCGCAAACGAACGAATGTGTAATCGTTCATCTAGCACATGAGGTTGAGATTGTAGGCTATCTGACGAACGACGGGCTGTCGTTGACTATTGCCTCGAGCTCGATGAGACGAACCATGTGTCCAACCCGTGAGTAGCGAAGGAGTCGCTCCATTCGAGATACTTTGATCCTACCATTACCGACTCGAAATGGCCCAGACTGCTCGCTCGTGGCTCCCATTTACCAAACAAGCGACGTGAGGAATCAGACTTGGTTTGAAGCAGAGGAGACCACGTCGGCGCCAGTTATCAAAGGGGGTCAGGCACGTTGGTTCGATTTGGGAAATGACAATTTCATCGCTTCGTATGCGTACTCTCGCGGAGAACAGTCCAAGGCAGTAAAGCTCACTCTATGGCCGATTCTCGCCCGGAAAAGCAGCGTTCCTCAGGATTGTAAAGAGCTACGCAACTCGACATACCATCGGGACGTCCGGCGCATCAGCTGGTCGGAGAGGCGCAGCTTCTCCTAGGACTGCGTAGGAGCGAGCTACGTGAGGTGGAGTCTACCAGTAATGGGGCGCATAAACCTTGCCCCCGTCCACTCCCGCCTCTTGCCTACTCGCTCTTTGCCACTTCTCGTAATTACCGTCCCACCCGCCCAGCTGTGGTCAAAGCAACCAGCGTTAGTAGACTGAAAAGCACATGTAACTCATAATACGCACCACCAATACCAGAAGAACGTTAACTAACCTAGTAGCAGTTGATCAAGTCCCGTCATGCGCGATTCCGTGCGGCAGCAAGAGGTCGGATGGTCGTTCAGGCCTATTTAGCCCACCACCCATCCCGTGCCCATCCCACCCTCTTGCCTGCCGCTCGCCTTCGCCTCCCCCGTGTAATGGATAGCGCATATCACGATCAAATACCAATATTATGTCAGTGTACACCAACCTACTATGCCAAGTAAGCCGTCCAATACCCTCGTCACGTATCATAGTCCCATATCCTAGCCCTCTCGAACGGAGCCTCACTTAACGAGCTACAACATCGCAGCTCTCGATAATTCGCATGGTGCAGATGGAGTTTGGAGTGTCGTAATCGAGAATTTAGTTCTTATCAAAGGAACTCTTGCGTTCCTGTAAAGAACTGTGATTTGCCGGGAACCAAGATTCTCGATTTTTACACCGAGTGTGGATTGACGTAGAGACACGGTTGCTTGCTGTCGGTTATATCAACATTTGATACGTGCTCCAGCCGTCGATGTTGTACTTTGGCGGATGTATTGCGCCCGAATAAAACAAGCACATCTGACGCGTCGGGAGTGGCAGGCACCAACCTCATCTGGAACCATCCACCTCTGCAATGGCGTCCCAATGGCCAACGACGCAAACTCCCATCTCCATAAATCTGATTCTGCACAGGAATCATCACAAAAGACGAGTCAACCGTGTAATTTGGCCAATCTTGGTCTGGAAGGAGGTCAAACGCTCGTCAGAGAATCTGAATTTGACATCACAGAGAGCATATATGATCATATGATTGCCCGTAGGGGAGCCACTGTAAGGAAGCACAAGTCCGGTCAGCACCGTCGCTTTAGATGGTACCCGAATCGCCTCTGGATCGTATGATAAGACGATTCGAAGATGGGATGCGGAGACTGGTCAACCGCTGGGCGAACCATTGCAAGAGTAGATAGACTCGGTCACCTTTTCACCAGACGACTGGCAGATCGTCTCCGGTTCATCTGGTGACCTGTCGATTATTCTACTGAATACAGAGTCTGGTGAGTGTAATTATGGCTTCTGATCGTGATCTGACGCATGGTATCAGATACAAACGCGGATAGCCCCCACCAAGATGATACAAGTCTACATTCTCGGGTCGGGAGCATTTACTGGATACTCCACTAAGAATCCATGCACCTGGATTCGAAGAATGCTCGTTTTTGCGTAATGACTGGGTACAACCCTCAGGTAAACTTCTTTTCTGGGTGCCACCAGAGCATCGACATGGGCTGATGTATCCACAATCACTTCAGACTCTGCCTACAGCCAGCTTTTTCCGTGCGACCAAACTTGATTTCAGTGTGGGCTCTCTTGGACGAAGGTTCGAACAGATTGATATACCTTATGTACATGCCAATATGCAAACAATCTCGATGAAATATCTTATTAGTTCGTTCGTTGGTGTCTTCCTGGGCGTATATTCCATGAACACGGACTGCCCAGCGGTACCCCAGCTCCGGTATCGAATGGCTTTCCACCGATTTCCGGAATTCCTATACTCTTAACCCCAAGATTTTCTCGTCTTTTCCCCACAGACGGAGTCCCCTCGTCCCGCTCGACGGATTCACATGTGGCCAGCGGCGGGTTGACGGCAGCCGGGCCGTGTCGAAAGAGGGGGACGAGCGGGAGTATTTGTAGATATAAATTCGAGGGTAAACGTCCTGTGAATTTCTCTCGTGTTATTCCCAATTCCAATTGACGGGTGTTTGTTTGGTAGGCCGAGGGTGCTTCTGAGTCGGAACGTTGGACCACTCCCACTCCCTCCATCGCGCCGCACCAGGTTTCTACGTCGATATTTTCCTCTTCTCTCTTTCTCTTCTCCTAGACGTGTCTTATCGAGGCCTCCTGGAAAATTACAAACAACGAGACGATGAGCGACCAACGACCAACGGCCAACGCGCAGACCTTTAGCGCAACGGGGACGACTGCGCCTGTGATCCCGCCGCCAAAGAAGAAGAAGCAACCGTATCCATTCTGGCTTGGAGGCGTCGCGGCGTCTATTGCAGCCAGTATCACCCAGTGCGTACCCACCACCAGCATGTTGATCGAACAACATTGGCTTTGGTTGCCTGTGCGATCAAGTTGGATGCTAACAACATTCCTTTCCTCGATTGCCACTGCGATTAATGACAAAATAGTCCGCTCGACTTGACAAAAGTACGCCTCCAGGCGTCGGGAGACAAGTCGATGATCAAGTCACTCCAAAAGACGGTGCGCACTGCGGGTTCGTCCTTGCTTTTTGAGCGGATTCTCGTCGTGTTGACTGCTCCCGCAGGCGTTCGGGGCCTCTTTGATGGCATTTCGGGGACGTTGATGAGGTACTTCCACCAAACTGCCGAGACCCATTCAAGTTGTTGATTCCGGGCGATTGTATAGGCAAATGAGTTACTCGCTATGTCGTTTCTGGGCATACGACGAAAGCAAGAAGCTCGTGGTCAAGGGCTCGAACCCTCCGGCGTGGCAATTGGCCCTTGCGGGAAGTATGGGTACGTGGCGTTGTTGATAATCGATTGCAAAATGCTTACAGGGTCGTTTTAGCCGGAGGTATTGCTGGTGTCGTGGGGAACCCTGCCGAGATTATCATGGTTCGCATGCAAGGCGACTTTGCAAAACCACCAGAAAAGCGGCTAAACTACAAGAATTGCTTTGACGGTCTCTTCAAGGTATGTCCATGTTTTCAAATCTAATGACAGTATCTCACGTACATATGTAGATGGTCAGGGACGAGGGCGTTGGATCTATGGCCAGAGGCATGGGTCCCAATGTCGTCCGAGCCGTGCTCATGAACGCATCTCAACTTGCGTCTTATGACTGGTTCAAGGCGCAAATCCTACGAGGTGGATACATGGAGGACGGCTTTGGGTTGCACTTTACGGCCAGTTTTGCCGCGGTATGTTCTCTTGTTTGTATCTTATCACGGTCTAAACCTAGTATAGGGAACGGTCGCTACCAGTATGGACTAATGCTCTGAGACCCTGTGGCTTTTACTGACATCTGAATCCAGCGGTCTGCTCTCCAGCTGACGTGCTCAAGGTTTGTGATAGCTCTTGAATCCGAACCGGTCTAATCTCTTTATTGCACAGTCGAGAATCATGAACGCCTCCGCTCCTGGGTCGACGTCGACAATGCAAGCCATCCGGACGGCGATTGCCAACGAGGGACCCATGTTCATGTTCAAAGGCTGGGTACCCGCCTGGATGCGTCTTCAACCCACGACCATTCTTATCTTTGTGACGTTTGAGCAGCTGAAGCGAGGAGTCGATTGGTGGCGAGGAGACTAAGTCTAGTCGCTTTTTGCCGAACTCTTATTTTTTGCATTTGATAATGCAAAGCTCAACGTACGCGTGTACATTAGCGTCATAAACGTCAAGTTTGATAGAAGCGCCCATGTGCCGTGAGTAAAGCTTCCCATGACTTGAGCCGCGGGTTCTCTTGTGAGTTGCCCGAGTTCCTGAATGAGGCTTAAGGGCGTCGCCGGTTACATTAGTCCGACGATCGAGTTGGCTTCGTATCCTTTGGACTCTACTTGATCCCAACAAACTCGACCTCTTCGTGTTTGGTTATAGGTGACGTTATTGAGAGCCACTTTGGCGTTGGGCAGCTCTGCTCTGCCGAACATTTTGTCCACGGCAGCTTCCTCTCGCTAAACCTTGGTCGTCGACCCCGAGATCGCGGGCTAACTGTGCAAATTCTCCGAGGCGGGCCGCGCCGATTCCATCTTGGACCTTTCCTCGACATTCTCCTCTTCTACGTCGTTGGAATTTTCAAGTCTTATTCCGACATTGTCAGCGACGCTCTTTCCCTCTCCAGTTCTGCGTCTTGCCCTCCCTTGTCTCGCTCTCTGAGCCGATGGGAAGCACTAGTCCACAGCTCAACCAACGGCTTTGAAGAAGAGAATAGGAATTTCACATCAAATTTTTGGGGGATTTTGGGGATTTTGCTCATCCTTTCATGGGCCTGTCTCGCGCCTTACTAGCGCGACTCACATTCAATCCCCCACAATCTGTCATACAACACTTTTGCCGTCAAATATCCCGCTTAACGATCACAAATACGAGCTTTCGTCGGTCACATTCGCACTCGCTCGTCGCCCCCGACTTTGTGCTTACTGCTCGCGATGCGACAAACTCGGGGCTACCCCCCGGGATCTCTACCGTCCGAGAACTCGAGTGGATGGTGTTTCGTCATAATGCATTTTACTATGTACGTCTCCTGGCGACTTCTCAACTCTATTTTGACGGTCCCTTTCTCGGTCTAGGCCGTAGCCGCCTTGTTCACTCTGCTCATCTACGAATACTGTATCACGTTGTATGTATTACTCACACCGGCTTACGTACACAACTCACTCATCGTTGCAGCCACAAAGAGGTTCAATTCATTTGGCGGGCCAAGTCCAAGTTTACGCTCACCAATTGCCTCTTCTTCCTCAACCGATACCTCCCCATCTTTCGTGCCGGCATCTTTCTCTTCTTCTCCTTTTTCCCTCCTAGCAACCCACGAACATGTACACGCTTTACGGACATCAATTCTTGGTGCACGATGCTCTCCGTTGCCACGGTTGAAAGTACGCCGCCCTCTTCTTCTGTGATTTTTCACTCACCCGTCTTTCTAGTACTCATGTAGGTTGCCTGTACATCCCGCGAATGCGCTAATGATGCATAGGCTTGTTCGCACTTGGGCATTGTACTCAAAGTCGCGCAAGGTGGGAATCATACTTCTCGCTGTATGGCTGGTAGCGCTGGGAGGATGCGTCGTTGTCGTCAAATCCTCTATCAAAGTACGTTGTCAAAATCCTCTTCAAGCTCGCCCTAATTTCTCCTAGCCGATTCCTGGGGTCATTCCTCTCGACCCCATCTATATCAATCCTTGCGACAGACCGTCGCCCTATAAGTATTTTATCACTGTGAGTGGTTTTCTGTGACTAGATCTGGTGACCGACAGCCGTTAGTATGTCATCGTGCTCTGTTTCGAACTGTTTAGCTTTATCATCATGATGGTCCGCATCAACTCTCTTGCATCCAGAACACCATCTACCAATGTCCGCGGCCGTGTACGGAGGAGTGCACGGCCTCTTATCCCGACCATCCAGAAGCATGGTCTCTACTACTTTACCTGCGTTGTTTGTGAGTGATCTTCATTGCTGGTGCGACTAGTGGCTCACATAACCTCAGGTGTGATGACTCTCAACGTCGTGGCGTCCTTTTCGAAATCCCTGTCGAGAGTAGTCATCAACGCGGGGTATGTCCCTATAGAATCTTTCTATCTAAACACTGACGTGGGATAGCATGGGCCCGATTATTGCCTCCATTGCGTGTAACCGAGTCATCTTCGCCTTGCATGGTCTATACACCGAGATAGACCATGGTCCACGCTCGGCAATATCTTCCTTCAAAACCGCCAAACCTCCGAGCGGAAATCAGAACCATCTCCATGTCGCAGATAGCGGCCCCAGCGAGACGTCGATTAAATACGACGACGAAGACATTGCGCGAACTCGACAGGACCTCACAACGAGGGACCTCGGAGTCAACGAGTACCGTAGACCCAGCCTGCCAAACGACCTTCACGAGATGGAGGCTGAAGGGTATGCGGAGAAGGGAAATACATCGTCTGGTTCACCAAAAGATGGCGTCCTTTCGCCCAACTCAATCTCCAACTTTTCTGCTCGGCCGCAGTTACCTCTCCACGGCCACCATACAAGCTGGAGCACCACCCAAAGCTCCAAAGAGTTTACAAGTGACTCGAAGAGTACGAGCATTCTCCATCGTTCACGGTCAACTGCGCCAACGATCGATTCACAAACGCCGCTTCATCGCGCCACGAGTTCCGACGCGCATTTACCCAAGTTGAATTCTCCATTGCCCCCTTTGGAGACTGGGGGACGAGAGTCGTCGCGTGGTCATAGGAGCTCGTCATCGTTTGGGACTGTCGTACGGTCACTTTCTCGAGGCGGTGGCCCGCGGTCACCCATCATGCGCGTATTTACGCGCTCTACGCATGCGGGTGATGTTACAGTCCAGCTCCGAATCGGGATCCTGGAGCAATGGAAGCTGGACTTGGGACGGAGATGTCTTCTGGAGAATCGTCGACGGGCGGCAAGCGTCCTCCATGGTGGCAACGTAATGTTACTCCCAAGCGAGATGAAGAGTTGGAGACAAAGGCAAAGGATAAAGGTGTCGTCAAGGGTCGACCAAGAGGTCGGGAGCGACACCCGCTGGATCATCAGTATGAGATGGATACGATTCTTACCGGTGGTTCTGGAGATGTCTCGGGGTCTGGAGCCCTACGGAGACGCAGATTCGACCGTTGGAGATATCTCAGATGATGGACGAAGAGAGCCAGGCACTTGATGCGCCGCGGCGGCATTCACCCACAGGTTAACGATAATAATAATGTTCATATTGATGTAGGTTTATAATACACAGGAAGCTACATTCATTATAATACCCAGATGAGCGCGTGTATCCCACGAGTAATGCTATCGCAAACCATTGCTGGGTGGAAATGTGATATTTAGCGGATATTGAGTATGAGATACACACTCCAATCCATAGAAGCCATATAAGCTACTTTGCTATTGGTATCATGATTTTGGCGTGACTTCATCCAAGGACTTCCATGCGTGTATCAAGCGCTTTCTCTCTCCAACGCGGCGGCCTCTTCTAATTTTCCACGAGCTCGTAGCGTAGATGCAAGGTTGCCCATTGCCGTAATGGTGTCTGGATGGCGTCGTCCATGTAGCTCAATACGCATATCAAGCACCTCTCGTTCCAGCTTCTCAGCCTCGTCCAGCTGACCACGAGCCCACAGTATAGCTGCAAGTTCGCCCATTGCCCTGACGGTGTCTGGATGGCGTCGTCCATGTAGCTCAATACGCATATCAAGCACCTCTCGTTCCAGCTTCTCAGCCTCGTCCAGCTGACCACGAGCATGTAGCGTAGCTGCAAGGTTGGCCATTGCCCTGACGGTGTCTGGATGGCGTCGTCCATGTAGCTCAATACGCATATCAAGCACCTCTCGTTCCAGCTTCTCAGCCTCGTCCAGCTGACCACGAGCATGTAGCGTAGCTGCAAGTTGCCCATTGCCCTGACGGTGTCTGGATGGCGTCGTCCATGTAGCTCAATACGCATATCAAGCACCTCTCGTTCCAGCCTCTCAGCCTCGTCCAGCTGACCACGAGCTCGTAGCATAGCTGCAAGGTTGCCCATTGCCTTGACGGTGTCTGGATGCCGTCGTCCATGTAGCTCAATACGCATATCAAGCACCTCTCGTTTCAGCTTCTCAGCCTTGTCCAGCTGACCACGAGCATGTAGCGTAGCTGCAAGGTTGCCCATTGCCTTGACGGTGTCTGGATGGCGTCGTCCATGTAGCTCAATACGCATATCAAGCACCTCTCGTTCCAGCTTCTCAGCCTCGTCCAGCTGACCACGAGCATGTAGCGTAGCTGCAAGGTTGCCCATTGCCTTGACGGTGTCTGGATGGCGTCGTCCATGTAGCTCAATACGCATATCAAGCACCTCTCGTTCCAGCTTCTCAGCCTCGTCCAGCTGACCACAAGCCCGTAGCGTAGCTGCAAGGTTGCCCATTGCCCTGATGGTGTCTGGATGGCGTCGTCCATGTAGCTCAATACGCATATCAAGCACCTCTCGTTCCAGCTTCTCAGCCTCGTCCAGCTGACCACGAGCCCATAGCGTAGCTGCAAGGTTGCCCATTGCCTTGACGGTGTCTGGATGGCGTCGTCCATGTAGCTCAATACGCATATCAAGCACCTCTCGTTCCAGCTTCTCAGCCTTGTCCAGCTGACCACGAGCTCGTAGCGTAGCTGCAAGGTTGGCCATTGCCGTGACGGTGTCTGGATGGCGTTGTCCATGTAGCTCAATACGCATATCAAGCACCTCTCGTTCCAGCTTCTCAGCCTCGTCCAGCTGACCACGAGCCCATAGTGTAGCTGCAAGGTTGCCCATTGCCTTGACGGTGTCTGGATGCCGTCGTCCATGTAGCTCAATACGCATATCAAGCACCTCTCGTTCCAGCTTCTCAGCCTTGTCCAGCTGACCATGAGCTCGTAGCGTAGCTGCAAGGTTGGCCATTGCCGTGACGGTGTCTGGATGGCGTTGTCCATGTAGCTCAATACGCATATCAAGCACCTCTCGTTCCAGCTTCTCAGCCTCGTCCAGCTGACCACAAGCCCATAGTGTAGTTGCAAGTTCGCCCATTGCTGTGACGGCGGCTGGATGGCGTCGTCCATGTAGCTCAATATACATATCAAGTACCTCTTGGCCCAGCTGTTCAGCTTCCTGCAGTCCACCATCTAGTCTTGCTACCTTGGCAATTTCTAACATTATCCACAATGAATCAGACTGGTGACCATCCATCTCCTTGACTGTGGGAAGTGCAAACTGTAATAGTTTATGGCATGCCTTCCAGATCCCCAGTGAATCGTAGATCTCGTAGAATGCCAGGGCATGTGCGATACTTGCTGTCTTTAATGACCAAGGAAGGGCATCAATGTGTGATAGCAGTTGCCAATACTGGGCATTGCTCTCATTTGAGTGCCGTGTAGCTCCAAGCAAAAGCTGACTAGCCATGCTTATAAAGATTTTTGCAGTATCTCCAAGAGAATCCGTGATGTATCTCTGAAGGAGTGGATGAATCGAGTAGAAGATACTTCCAGAGTCGTCGGTGAGTGTATTGATAAAAGAGGCTCGCTGTGCGGCATCAATCAAGTCCTGGAACGAAATCTCATCCCAAGTCGATCCAAGAATCTCCTCGAGGTTGGAAATAATAGCCGTGTCACCCTCCGGCGGAGGATAATTCTCTAGAATCGTGCGAGCAGTAAAGCCTGAGTTGGTCGAAACCTTGAAAAGAGCCTTTGGAATGCCCGTATGGTGGAAATATGCACAAATCTTCAGCAGGTCCTGTGTCTTGTTTGGCAGCTGATGGAACGAAAGATCGAACGCTGCATATGTTGAATACGCGTATTTAGCGCCCTTAACTGGACGTTCTCGCATAAGTCGATCTCGATGATCTCGAAGAGTGGCGAGATAGCTGCTGAGTTGACGAGTTTTGAAGATATATGCGCCCGCTTGGGTTATTGCAAGTGCTAGCGCACCTAGCTCTCGCACAATCTCCAGAGATGCTTCGTTGGACGTAGGCGTGATATTGGCAACCTTGTGAAGGAGGTCGACGGCCTCGCTTTCTGCTAGACCACCGATGTGAATCGCGCCATCTGGCGCGTACTCTGTGCACTCCTGGTTTCTTGTCGTGATCAAGGTTGCTCCATTGGGAGAATTAGGGATGTATGGGTCAAGGTCGAGCTTTGGTGAGTCCGCATTATCGAAGAATAGCAACCACCCTCTTGCCACGCCCTCGAGATAGGCAACAGTATCCTCCCATGTTGAATTGGCGTATTCAGGACCGATTGCACGGATTGCGCGTTGTAAGTCGGCCTCAAGCTGTTCCTTGCTGGTGGCGTCGACGATGATTATCCGATCAAAGCTTGGAAAATATGAGACAGGCTGCAAATTATAGCGTCTCTCATACCTTTTGCCGTGTTGTCTGATCCAATTTGCCGCAAGCTGAGTCTTGCCGGCTCCTCCTATTCCATGTAGAATACAGCGTGGCTGATGACGCTTCTCGCCACTAGGAAGAAGCAACTGGGTCATTCTCGACTGGATCTCTGGACGCTCGATATAGTTCCTCGAGACGGCGGGGGGAGGCTTTGGTAGGTTGGTTTTGGGTGACGAAGTCGGCACGCCTTGCTTAGTAGCTGGAAGGGTTTTAGCAACAGATTAGAATTGCGTGTCTCACAAACCTCGAACAGCATCCTCTAGAGACCATTTCTTTTCTATCGAGCTAGGTGCTTCTTTCATCCAGTCTTTGAGATACGTCAGAACACACCGATAGTCGCCCTGAGTCCTGTTGAGGAACTTGACCATCTGGCAATGGTCAGCGCGAAGTCCCTCTTGAGTCGCTTGCCGATCGCCGGCAAGAGTAGCTGCTTGCCGCGGTACAATCTACACAAAGGTCAGAGGTCGCAAGATCACATATTGAGACCTCTTGCCAATTCTTGTCGCCCTCCAAAGATAGGAGTCGCATACTCCTCGTAAAAGCAGACAGCATTGACCGTCTCACTAGCCAACAGATACTGTTTCTGTATATTCTCTAGCTCTGATGAGTTTTCCTGGAGATGCTGGAGGATGATATCTGTTGTCTTCATGTAGACTGACAGAAGTTGGTTCACGATTTGCAAGAGTGCGACGCCGTTTGTGCCCGAGTGGGGAGTCCCAAAGAAGAGAATGCCATGAGTCGAGACGAGGATATCATGGTAATGGCTTTTCGAGTTTGAGCCATGAGCATGGCAGATAATAAGTGCCTGAGAGGGACTTAGCGTAATCTCGTTATTTACGACGCCACCAACCTGCTTCAGAATGATACCACCAAGACTATGGGCTACGAAGAGAATCGGCCGCTGAAGGGGAATTGAGCCGCATACCCGATGAAGAAACCAAACTTACTCGAGGAGCACCATTGCGTTCTCTTGAGAGCTCCTGAATGAACTTTTCGGCATGTCCGTATATCGTATTCGTTGAGACGCATTCCCGGCTGCGAGTATCCGCATCATATCCATATGTGAGCACTCGTGCCTTGGGTAAATCGAGTGGTAAGAGGTCACGAAGCCACAAAATCCTAGTACTATTCGTCCCTGCCGTCCATGTCTTTTCTCTGTGACCGTCCAAGCCATGGATGGCGACGATGCTGGTACCAATAGTCAGTGCGGCGAGCACGTGTGACACAAAGATGGCCTACTCGACGTCGGGATCAGACCCAGTTGCAAGTTCCAGGAATCCATGATCATCTGTTTTCGACTTTGGGTGCGGGCTCGAGCCCCGGCTGCGTTCTGCCATGCCGCTGGAACGACTCGAGTCGGGGGCGTCAATTTGGGACGCTTTGGAGGAGCGAAACCCGCTCTTGATGCGTGATAAGAAATCTGATTTGTGCTTGCTCATCGGTGGTTGGGAATCAAGTACTTGGCCAAACAGCCTGGCGTCTATAGTCGACCCACAAGGCAGTGAATGGGCTTGATTTATCCTTGATAAGCACGCTCGTCGATTGACCATTGTGGAGGCTATCTAATGAAAGCAATCTCGTTCAAAAGTGTATGTCTAGTTTACAATTAGTCGAGACTCACGGGTCGCTGAGTCCAAGAAACCCACTTCGGAGCCGTTGCGAGTAAGAAGTCTATTGCATCATCGCGTCGTCATATCCGAGCAGACTCATGTTCTCGTATGCCATCGTCTCGTCCTTGGTAACAAGTTTGGCATTGTAGTCTAGACGTCCTGAAAGTTGGTGTGGTCGAACACCAATGAGGTGCTCCTTTATGAAGGCAGGGAGTATGCTCTTGATATACATACCACCTTCCTGAACAGTAGGACTATTCAAAGGCTGCATGATATCATTCCACCGTAGTTATTTAGGTGTAGTTCCAAGTTTCGACCTGGACCACTGCCTGCCCTTGAGACACTCTCATCTGAGAACGCGCCCAACCAGAGGATTGGATAATAGAGGCCATAATAATTGCTCAACAGGACCATCCTTTGTGTTCAATACGCGGCTGCGGCACGTCTGACCTTGCCTTTGGCACTTGGGACGAATTATCGGAGATTCTATTCCGGTACAGTGTTGAAATAGCCTAGTGTGCTGCGTTATGCAAACTCTTCATCGTCTACATCATGAACGGCCGCATTTTGGACGCCCTTGAATTGCACCCAAGAAGCAAATGAGATCAGATTTGGAGTATGACCTTGTTCCTCTTTTTATATCTGCTTCTAATAGTCTGGCGAGCTCTTCGGCAGACTCAAGTGACCACCCGCCGGCCGTTTCGAAGCATCTACGCATCCGACGGCACCCTGATCCATGCGAAACCTACGCAACTTACGAAATACTTCGAGAAGACGCATTGGAGGTACATCGCGAAACAATGTCTTTTGGCCATGTGTGCGGGGGTTCGACTTGGGACTCGACGATTTAAAACCCCGGCAGGTGTGGCTGCCGATGGCTGAGGCCGGCTCGCGATACGGCAACTCTATTCAATTTGCCTGCTTTAAACGGACGCGGGCCATCGGGACAAATAAAAGGCACCGGCAGGCCAACACTCGACTGATCAGATGCTTTCCGTACGTCGTTTTTTCCACTGACCACGACACGCTGGACATTTCTCGATAAATGGACGCCAATTCCCATGCGACCGGAGCGTCCAGCAGCTCACAAGAGACGCCCGAGACGATGCCTGTCCGCACTCATCATTCAGAGGAACTCGACGAAAAGCTGGCAATGTATCTCGAGGAAAAGAGACAGAACAGCACCTCGAGCCAACCGTCTGCGTCTGAGAAAGCGTCTCCACAGAGCGTCATCGCGCTGCCGGAACGCTCAAACTCTTGCGGCTCCAACAACGGCAGCGTTGCAAGCCCACCAGCACAACCTTACCGTGGTCAAGGGACAAAGGAAGATCCATATATAGTCGACTGGGATGCAGACGATCCAGCCGATCCATACAATTGGTCGCGGAGCCGTCGGTGGCTTCTCACGGGCCAGGTAAAGTCCTACGTTCGGTGCCCTGTTCTATGGTTGACGAGGCTCAGCTTGCGTTCGGGACTCTTTGCATAACCCTGGGTTCCTCGTCGTATTCCGGTGCCATCCCTCGCGCAAAGAAAGAGTTACACATGACCAACGCCGTCGCAATTCTCCCCATTTCAGTTTACGTCTTCGGGTTTGCATTAGGGTGAGCTAGGCCCTCGCCTCGTGCGGGACCGTTGGACTGACGAGCCGGTCTAGGCCCCTCGTTTTTGCCCCCCTGAGTGAGGTGAGTATTCGTTACTGGCGACGTTCATTTTGGATTACCGACCTGCCCTTGTTCCTCGGTAGCTCTACGGCCGGGTACGTTTTCAGTGCTGTATATTCGGCATAGTTGACCCTGACGGTACTCTATCCTAATAGAGGCGCATCTTTCTGTGCTCGTTCCTTCCATTTTTCCTATTCCAAATACCTTGTGCGCTGGCGCCAAACCAGTATGTGCTCGTGGTGTTTCGGTTCCTCGCAGGTGTCTTTGGGTCGAGCCCCTTGAGCAACGGCGCTGGCGCTCTAGCGGATATCTGGCCAGCAAGCCAACGAGGAGTAGCTGCCAGCATCTACAGCAGTGGGCCGTGGTTTGGACCCAGTACGTATTTTACCTAGAAGGATGCCCGCGACTCATTTTGCTTTCAGTCATGGGTCCTATGGTCGGAGTACGCATATCAAACGTTCATCGTCGCCCTGCTGACCATGTTACAGGGATTTCTGATCCGTACTCCTCCGGGCTGGCGTATGGTCTTCTGGATCATCTTCATGATCGCCGCAATCCCTTCGTTCCTGGGTATCTTCTACATGCCCGAAACGGTGAGTGGCCTGCCAGTACGTCGCTATTTATCGTACTTACGTGTTGTCTAGTATGCTCCGGTTCTATTGCGTAGGCGTGCGCAAAAGCTTTATGAAGAGAGCGCCAGGACGGTTCACTATGTATCAAAGTACGATACTGGCCGCAGAGAGACGCCCATGCAAAAGATATCCAGCAACATGCGACGTCCATTTGGTCAGTTTAGCCCACCTGGTTGACGTTGGCTGACCGTATCCGCTCTTTAGTCTTTCTCTTCACCGAGCCGATCGTTGCATTGTTCTCTCTGTGGGTCGGTGTACTCTATGGATCTCTCTACGCCACCTTTATCGCGTTTCCTTTCGTCTTCCAACGGGAGCGACACTGGTACGCATGGCAGACTGGTCTCACCTTCTTGGGCATGGGCGTCGGCGTCATTTTTGGCAATATTCTCGCACCCTTTAACAATAAGCTATACAATCGTATTGCAGCAAAGCAACCTAATGGCAAGGCTAGCCCGGAGGAACGCTTATTGCAGGGTATGCTTGGAGGTGTCCTCGTTCCCATTGGATTATTTTGGTTCGCATGGTATGTAAGATCACTTCCTCGGTGCGTGGTCTTCTAACGAGTTGCTAGGTCGACGCATCCTAATGTTCACTTCATGGTTCCAATTCTCTCTGGCATTCCCTTTGGGATGGGGACGCTCATGGTCTTTGCTGCCGTCGTTGCATATCTCATGGACACGTACCAGACATTTACCGCATCTGCCATTGCCGCGACTGTCGTCCTGCGTTCTATACTCGGGGCACTCTTCCCGCTGTTCACGTCTGGTCTGTTTGTGCGGATAGGAACCCAATGGGGAGCGAGTGTGTTTGCATTTCTTGCACTAGCGTGCATGCCTCTTCCGTTTATTTTCTATGTGCGTGGTGCTGTTTACTCTCTTGCTCGACAAGGCCTGACCTTTTTCTAGTTCTTTGGGCATAGGATACGTATGAATTCGCGCATCGCTCGTCAGTTTGCCATTGCGCAGCTGCAGCAACAACAGCGTGCGACTAATAGATCGAAACAGCCGTCTCGCAATCCCAGTCTCCGCAACCCGAGCCAAGTCTAGGCACCCACTGTAGCATAGAGAATACATGACTTTCCAATAACTGCCGATGTCCATTTTTGTGAAGAATGGCATTACGCGCCAATCTCCGTGCCTGAGCGGAGACAAGGTTCGCCTCCTCCACGACTTTGGCTTTCTTTCCCCCGGGCGTCACGCTCGAGCAACGCGACTAGAGACGCTCCTTCTCTTCGTTTTCTTGCTCTCTTCGTTATCGTCGACGCTCCGCTCTTAGATTCTGGCACTTTAGCCATTACATTATTCTACTCTCCGGTCGTACGTTCGGGCACTAGACCACTATCTGAGAGGCTGATGCGACGTATACAAGTAGATATAGCACTATAAGATACTTATCGCTCAACAAAGTCGCTCGTTAATATGCCACACATCCTCCTCCGCGCCCTTCGACATCGGTCGACCCCGACTTTGCTGCCTTCGAGCCATCGACAGCATGCTGCAGCTCCTGTAGCGCGTCCTCCACCGTTAATACCGTCAATCGTCGTCACCATTCCCGAGGAAGAAGGCGGCTCCCACTACTGCGCTCTTCTCGGGTCTCCCTATCCAGCGACAGACTCTGGTATAATCGCTGCCACAAACGCTGCTGCTACAATGCTCCATTCAAATCGCATGTACGCACCCTACGAAGCGACTTCTCCGAATGAAGAGGAGCTCCCGTTGGAGACTGTCGACGACTTTGGAGCTTCGTATTCCTCTTCTGGATTCGATGCGCCTTTGCCAGACTTTGAGGCGCTCGAGGAGACGATTTCTCAGCTCCGAAACGCAGAGCACGCGCCCGTATTTCGTCGTCCATCCTCACGGTGCGAAGAGGACGGCATCGTGATGCCGAGACGAAAATCGGCGCACGCCGACGCCGACGTGCCGCAATACGTGCACGAAGCTGGAGCCGGTAGAGGCTTCTTGCCCTCGGGAGCCAAGAAGACGAGTCGTCCGCGTCCGCCTCGAAGAGTGCAGAGCTCGCCTGTCCCACACGACGTGGAGCAATTTACAGATGCCCAAAACGATTCGCTGTTCTTTTCGTCCGAGCTCGCTGCTCGCGAACGTGTATCAAGTCCTCCGCCAAAGCCAAGCCTATTCCGGCGGTTCTCAAAGAAGCAGCGTCCAGCTCCACTCAGCTCCATTTCATCCGACTCCTTTGTGGCTCCTCGAAATGTCGTGTCACCTCCGCTCACTTCGCCAACGGATCCGTTTGCGTTTGACCAGACGTTGCCGACGTCTCCAACTCAGGAAGGATGGAACTCGGACGGAGAGCCCAAACGAAGAAAGAGGAGTAGTCTTAAAAGGCTCCTCTTGCTGGAAAAGCGCGAACGCGCAAGTGTTGTCTACGACACGATGCAGTCCATCCACGAGGTGTCCACCCAGGCCACAGTCGAATCTCCGGACAACGGATACACCATGCCAAACTGCTTCAACGACATTGACGAGCGGGAGACGCAAGAGTCTGACCGAGACAAACCTCTTCCGCCGCTTCCACTGCCACCCTCACAAAGCGCTGGCAGTTCTGACGAATACGTCGAAGTGCAAATATGTAATAGCCCAGTACTCTTTGACGTTGTCACTGCCATCCGGGATATCCCTCCGGAGCCAGCATACGAAGAGGTTCAAGAGCCCGTCGTTTCCGCCACTCCAAAAGCAAAGGAAGCACCGTTAAAGTCAATCAAGCGCAAGTTGTCCTTGAAGCGGCTAAAGGAGCGCTTCTCCTCCACCCCTACTCCAGCTCCACCTGTCCCTCCGATGCCCGTCCAATTTCGGCCAGTAACACGACCGCCAATTCCATCCGTCGTCATTACTGCTCCTATGGACTGGCCCATGTCGCATGTCGAAACCTTTATGGACGAATCTACAGTCTCACCTCGTGTGACATCCGAGACCTTAGTGTCTGCTCCTATCCCCGACGAAGATTCGAACCTCTCGACGAGTAGTGAGGACTCTTCTGGCTCATCTGCCATCGACTCTTCTGCTCTCCCTTCCCCGGACAGCACGCCGCCAGCGACGCCGGACCACATCGTCTCTGTGGGCTCTGTCTTTGAGTCACAACAGGAATCCATCAAGGATGGTCACACCAAGCAAGTCAACGTTGACGTGCAAATCGTCACCCCACTCTCTCATGTCGAGATTGATGCTGGCATTCCTCGGTCGCCGGGGCGCATCGATCTAGGCTCCCTGGATGCGCGAGTAGCCATCGTCACCGCGTGACGATCCTCCTCTCCTTCCCTCCCTCTCTCCTCCTCTACCCCTGCGTTCCCTCTGTACCATACAGTAATCGCCGTAGTTTCATTACCCCCCGCTCCTTGCGCACGCCACGCTCGTTGACTCTCCTCATGACCATTTTCTTTCGGATTTTAACCCTGTTTTACTCTACATCACTCGTTTTCTTCTTTTCGACAAGCTGGCCGCATCCGTCACCGACATTCAAAACATTGTACGTCGCACAATCTCTTGTCTGCATGCGCTTGCCGTTATGTGGCTGGCTTTTCTCTAGTTTTCTGTACTTCATACTCTGATGTCGCTACTACGGAGATGAGACACGTAGGGGACGTGTGAGGTGGAATACACTGCTTGACTGGATTATATTCATCGGTATCGACGACTGTTTACCAGCTCAATAGCCCATCGTAATCTTACCATCTAAAAGTCCCAAGAGTTCAGATATGTCATCATCTTCACTGATATGAATATTAGCATAAACAACTGCTGGTTGCTTGCGGACGTACCTGGTAGGATGTGGGATCGCCGCGCGTAATAATTTGGCCCTTTCCAGTGCGCCTCGTAGTGCCCTCCTAGAACGACAGATGTAACAGAAGCAGCAGTCAACATCGTGAGTCGTATCCGTATTCTCGTCTTCTTCATAACAATTGTGAATCAGGTCGGAGCGCTCCTTGTATGTAAAGCACTATAGAATATGATGAACGGCATACAACAAGGGAAGAATACGAACAACTTACACCAGCATCCTTGGAAACCAGGCCAGGCCGAAGCTCCAGCCGAATCGACCTGTCCTTCAGAATCTCCAAGATTCTCTCCGCTAAGGGCCTTAATTCCTCCATCAGGTATCCATCTACACCTAGAACGACGTCCCTGAGCTCGCGGCATTGATCTGGATTCTCCGCCAGTTCAAGAAAGCTCGAACGTAGCATGTCGATGTCGCGGTGCAGGATTTCAATCTTTATGACAGATGGGATCTGGCGCCATTGGACACTTCCTTTCCCCGCCCAGACTATGTGTGTAGCGGTGGAGAGGTCTCGATGGGCGAATTCCGTGTGAAAGGGTGACTCTTGATGATAGTAGTCGAGCTGTGGAGTAATCAAGTTTGGGAATACAAGAGATTCGGGATCGAATTCTGGACTAAGCGTGCAGATATAAGTCAACGAAGTGAGTTTTGCTAGTCGGAGACTCGAAGAAATTTCGCGGTGGAAAGAACTTTCGGCGCAGTTGTGGCGAATCGTGAGTTTTCTTAAGCTATCCTTGCACAGTGTTGAAATAAGAAGCCATACATTAGTCTTGGAGTGGACGCATAGCTCCTGCAGAGGAGGGAACTGTGGGGTGTTGGCCAAAAACAGGAGAGTAGGCAGAGGAATTTGGTGGATGTGTAACACTTTGAGAGCTGGAAAGCGTTCTCCTAAGTTGAGATATCCGGTTTGGCTTGGTGCTGGCAGCGAGCAGTGAAGATCTATCAGTTCGGTGACCTCGTCATGATTTAGTCGACATATCGCCTCCCAGGACGACCTAAAGTGCCCCATCCGGAGCTCCACGAGATGCGGGAAGTTGCTAGCGAGGAGCACCATTGGACGGTCGAAGAAGGACAGAAAGCCGATGGATGCTGCCTCTGCAACGACGGCATCCACAGTCTCCTGTTTGACCCAAGGTGCAAGACTAACGGAAAGATTTCCTTTCCTGTCCTTGAGCCTTGATCGCCATAGTCGGAGGAGTTCTGGATGAGGAAAAACTGCACTTCTCGTGGGGCCTATATCGAGATTCGCCCAGATTGAAGGGGTTTGGAAAATAATATCTCGAAAGAGACGACAGACTGCGCTCAGTCTCCACGGGGACGAGAAGGCCAACTGGCTTGCTTGCAGGAAGATTTTTTGAAGTATCTCAGGTGGAAGTCTGCAGATAGGCGTCCTCGAGATAGTAGATGAGCTTAAATCACTCATCCTGACTGGCTAATGCTCTTCGTTTTCCACTAATAAACCAAGTGTGTGATATGGTCGGGACCAAGTTTAGTGCATCCCACTCACTTCGAGATGGACTATAATAGAAGCAAAGTCCTCTGAATTCTACTATGCCATCAGGTCGTTACCAGGTATATGCTGCATTTCCTTCGTCACTAATAGTGATATAGAGTAAGAATCTTGATACTTCTCCCATAACTCAAACAGTAATTTTCAGCTTATACATCTAATTGTAGCAACGCTTGACAAGATAAGTGGTGGGCACCGATCGCGAGTCACTTGGCCCACCCCGCGTCATGACGAGTCTACCGAAGGATGCCAAAGGCAAAGGACGCGCTACGGAAACGACTCCATTATTAGCGAATCAAGCAAATTTGACCTCCACGGGACAAGCCTCGGCCAGCAGAGACCTAGAACCAGCGCCGGAACATGGCGATGACCGTGCACAAGCACCGACGGGTCGACGCGCCTTTCAAAAGACGTTGTTGAACATATTCCTCGTCTCTTTAACGGTCGTCGTCATATTATTCGTCGCGAGCGTCCTTTTAGTATATTCATACGCGCAACGTGCGCGAGGGGTCAGCTCCGACGATTTGGAGCGGGCTATTATATGGAAAGGACCGAGCTCTGTAGACGTAGTAGAGGTTTTGGATGACCAATATGTCGTCCTGAACGTCAGAGGTCTGCTAGGTGTCGACACAAATATTGTTCTGGGGTTCAATTCAGACGACGAGCAGGAAAACATCTATGTCAGATGGTGGAGAGATATTGGGCGATGGGGTGTTGGCTTCCTCGGAGCTGTCACGGTCAGAGCGGGCCAGGTAGTCGCGTACGAGGCCAAGCACATCGAGCCACTGGCACGAGCGACTCTGAAAGAGTTTGTCGCACCTCTTACTGCCAATCCGGGGGAGCCTTGGGACGATAGCTGGCTACGACCAGTCGACTTGACGATCATTGCCCAACCCTCTCAGGATGCAAGTCTCCTCCAACGATTTGCTGAAGAGTCGTGGGCCAAAGGGGCTCTAGATCTCAGAATGGAGGTCGACAAAGTCAACGTGCGAGGCGGTACTCCACACGGACGAGGCAGCTGGTGGCGCGGAATGGTTACAGCTCGCAAGACCGACCTGGCGTCGCGTATTCGCTACAAGCGTGCGTCATTTCACTTGATAATGACGTCTTTACTAATTTTATCTCCAGTTCCTGCGCTTCCCGGCTTCCCGAACCCTCATCAACCGCTTGCCAAACTGCTTCAGTTGGTCTCATATTCTGTCATACAAGACGACGGACAACTATCACTCTACGCTTTAGCGACGATTCCTAACCCACTCGATTCCATTAAACTATCATTCCCGGACATACCATACGAAGTTTCCCTTCTTTCTCCGCCACTCGACCCGCTACCTATCTCTTCCGGAACCGTATCTCCAAAGCTAACTTCACCCAACATCTCGCTTCCTATCACTGGTCGTGTCATTCCACTCTCCTCTCCAGACTCCTCCTTTATACTATCAGAGTTTATTGGAGACTTCCTCTCGGGGATCCCTCCTCCTATCGCCATTCGGTGCCCGTTACTTCCCAACCTAACGATTGAGACTACATTCCCACCTCCAGATCCGCCGCCACGCGTCCTTCGCGACGTCACTATCAAGCAAATGTCCGTTTCGGTTGCACCAGGAGGCGGAATGCTTGCGAGTGGAACCATCTGGGCGAAAATGGTCCTCCCACCCGGGTTCCATCTCACTATCAATGTTACGCATGTATGGCCCGACGTCCTTGTCTTTGATGGGCCTATCGAACTTCCGCCCGAAGACGACGATGAAGATCACGGCGGATTTCCCGTTCATCTCCCACACTTGCCTTTACCCGACCTTCCGACTTTGCCAACACCAAAGGTACCAGAACTACCGTGGCATCATAGACTCCCTACTTTTCCTGGCCATCCTAGCAATCCCAAAGATGATCCTCCACCGCTGCCGACGCCACTTCCCGCGAGGGCGTTTGCACGTATCCGCCCAACTGATTGGATTACAGCGACGACATTGGAACCTTGTGAAGGCGACCTCACTGCTCGATCTCTTGAAGTGGACAACGAAGAGTGGATCGCGGTAGAACGGCCGACTCCGACACTTAAGGAATGTGATCCGGTCGACGAAAGCGGTGGATGGACGGCAACAGTGACCGCAACAGTTGAGAAGGTGCCTCTGCAGGTTCTTCCCGGTCGAGATAAAGAATTTAGGTCGTTTATCAACAAGGTATAGATCTTTTTCTTATTCTCAACACGAGTTTGACAAATTTCTAGGTCCTGTGGAGTCGGGATGGAGCCGTCGCCGGTCTACGAGGAGTGTCAGGAGTACGATCCAAAGTCGCGGGGTTGTTGAATGGGCGTCAGGGAGAAGAAGAACCGACACTTGAGCTCAATAATCTACCTTTCGAAGGCAATGTGCTCGTTGGAAAGAGAGGTCTTTAGAGTTGAACCCGTTGATCATGTATCTTAGCACATCTTGTATATACGCCTCTGGTACTTCAACCTCGAAACCCGTTTCCTTTGACAGCTCAAGAAGGTACGAAATTTGTTCCATGCGCCTCAATCACTGCACTGCTACCGCTCTTCTACGTGCTGCCTGGGTTGACCAACAAGAACCCTCCGTCGACGAGCATGATATGGCCATTAATATAACCACCCGCCACGGGTGAAGCGAGGAGCAACGCGGCTCCAGCAATCTCTTCCTCACTAACTCAGAGAGTGAGTCATCACCGAGAGTGTTTGAGAATACTTACGTTCCACCGCGACGGGCAGGATGAGGGTGAATACCCTTGCCAATCATATCTGCAACGTACGCTCCAAATGTCTGGCCCTGATGCTCGGTCATCTCTGTTGGGAAAGGTCCTGGAGCGATTGCGTTGACGCGCACTGGCTTCTTCTTTAGAGCGAGCTCAGTGCTAAGCAGACGCGTGAGGTGATTGGCAGCGGCCTTGGATACATTATAGGCAAACTAAGTTTGGAATGTGAATGGATGCGCGAATTCCAAAAGGATACTTACGTGCATCTGAGCTTGCCTCTGAATTCCACTGACACTGGTGATGTTGATCACAGACGTAGTGAGAGGGTGAGCAGGCGAACGCGAGTCAAGGTCCTGAGCACCCAGCTCGAGCAGGGGCAGAAACGCAAAGGTCGTAAAGAAGATGGACGTAATGTTGATCTGTCATTTGTAAGTTTGTGTATACGACTCATAGGCATCCACTCACGTCAAATAGGGACGCCCAGTCAGCAAAGTGCTCGTTCTCGAAGACGGCGGTACCAATATCGGCATGTTCAGGAGCCGACTCGTCGTTGAAGAAGCCACTAAATGGTCCAACCTGACCAGCGCTAAAAAGGTTCAGTTGGCATCTAAGCAATGGAGGACGGCGCACTTGTTGACGAGGATATGAAGTTTCCCCTCCTTTTCCCTGATAATATTGACTGCGTTTCTGATACTTTCTTTCTTTGTCACATCGAGCCCAAGTCTGCGAGATGGGTTGGTTGATAAGCTAGCAATATCTTGGCACATACGGAACGAGACGTCCACTCTTTGAGATCAAATATTGGAGTGATCAGATTCATCAGTACCACGGGTTATCATCTTGACTCACCGAGTTCCCGATTCTCTGGGCGACGTCAGATGCGGCTTTATCCAAGGTCTGCTCTCGTCGTCCACCGATGTAGACCGTTGCACCGTGGACGGCATAAGCTTCTGCGATCATCAGACCGCTGATAAAATGGTCAGCCTCAGTTATGCTTCATCGCCGTCCACGTACATGCCAGATCCCCCGCCTGTGATCAGCGCGACGAGCCCAGTCATGTCGTAGAGAACATTTGAAGAGAGATGATGTGCTTTTGGTACGGTTGCCATTGTCGTGCCGAAAGTGGTAAGGTGCGAGGGAAAGGAGTCTGTCCGGATATTTTCGCGGGCCAATGATAAGCAGGTTATACAAGCTTCGAAATAGCCCCTATTACCAATGTAAGATCTCTTGCTGAAGACTGCTCTGGTTCGCGAATGCGAGGGGAGAGAAGTGGATGGGGGAGGGAGCATCAAACGACCTCCTTTTATGCGATTTCAGGAGGTCAGCTGAGACGCTTATCATGATTCCATCAGATTTTACTCAGCAATCAATGTCGGAGGCTCCATAAATGGTGAGGAAACCCCTGTGAGGGGGCCGCAGGCCTCAGCTGGGGGCCTTTGTATTGAAAGCGCGGAGTTTGAATGTCATACAGCTCCTCGAAATACCTCCTCTTGGTTCAATAGGAGTAATCAGCGCCGCTGTCAAAACTATACCAGCGAGTCATCGAGCTGGACCTGTCCATATCCAGGAAATTGGCAGTGTATGGTACACGCCTCTGCAGCGGAGCGAGTCTTTCGGCTAGTGGATCTTACTGACCTGATATGCGAAAATGCAGCCGTCAGAAGTCCAGATGGGAGGCTCCTTGACGCATCGCTACTGGTAGCTCTCGCCAGGCTCAATAGCTCCATTTCAGTTGCTGCACTCAGACAACTCTGGAGACACGTACATTCCTACCAGATCATTGTTGACCTTGTGCCGTCTCTAAACCCGTTCAACCGAGGCCACATTCGAGACAAGGTCAGTTGCCATTCCTTACTCTCGTTTATCTGCCCATTGCTTTTAAATTCATTATAGTTTCTGGAAAACTGTCAATATTGGCGTGCTCTATTCTATACGAACCTGATCTACTCTCTTCGCCCCCTCGATAGTGGCGACAATGTCTTCGGTCTGGATGCACTTTACTTCAATATCAAGCGTAGATGGCCGCAGGAACCAATCTACAAAAACCTACGTGATCTTGAGCTTACTCGCGACTTTGGTCCCGGAAGCAGACTCTTGGAGACCATTGATCTCACTCAATTACGACATATCTCGCTACCCATTACTGCCAAAATTGTTCCGCTTCTTTCGTCGATCTTTGATCGGGTGACGCGGCTCGAGTCTTTGGAGATCACCACCACCGCATGCGGGCCTTGGGTGACGTGCGGTGTTACCCTGATTAAATCACTGATAACTGTCAAAAAGTTGAAGCTACGCATATGCTCAGATGTTCTGATCGACATGTTACACTACTTTCCCTACTTTCCGGGTCTCACGTCCCTGGAACTAGTTTGCGATCTCCTGGAAGAGAATACCCTGGGAGCAAGGTATGCATTTCCCAAAGGCAACGTTCCAAAGTGGCCCACTGGCAGGTCGTGGCAACTCTCACTGAGAGCAACCGATGTCAATATGGCCCTCATTCCCACCATTCTAGAAAAAGGGACGCCCAAATATCTGCTTTATACATCCCTCGAGCTGCACTTCACGACTACTGTGAACGATTCAGCTCGGACTCTTACCAAGGCCATCCGATCAATATCGCTGGAATGCCCAATGCTCACCTCTTTGACTATTTTGCAACAACCCCCCACTTCCCACTCCGCCGATAAAGCACATCTAGCCAAGGGACTTCTGGAACCATTACTCGTACTTCGTCACCTACGGGTGATCCATATCGTCCTAGAGAAAGGGTTACTCATCACTCAATCACTACTCAGTGACTTCTCCGTTCAGTTCTCGCAGCTGGAGCACTGTGTATTTGGTCCCTCCGACGTAGAAAATGAGAAGGATGGTTCTGGAATAGAGGGTGATACTCTCATTTCAATTATCGATATGGCGAGATTTGCGTCCCGCTGTCGGCATCTCCGAACTTTGGGCATGACGGCGCACAGAGTGACGAAATGCTTCGACGGGGCGTGGACAATGGATCATGTCTCGAGGAGCCTGGTGTCGCTTGATGTGGGGTGCACACCTGTAGAAAATACGAGAGAGACTATTGGTTTTATCCGGCACGCATTTCCGTTTCTCGACCGCCTCACTTGGGAGGATCGAGGAGAAAATCGACGTGAGCATATATCGGCGTGGAGCGCTATCCATAGCATTCTATTTTCTTAGAATCTAACGGTAAATGCTTGAACGACGAGAATATGTACACGAGATGTCGAGATCTTATAAAATGGTGAAATGGGTCGTGAATAAATGCATTTGACTCGCAACCATATTTTTGTGTACTTGTTTCGCTTTGCGCACCCTGATGTGGAGACGACTTCTTGACAGCCCCGCATTGGAGTCCACTCTACAAAATGGTCAAAATATTCTCTCAAACACATAAATATGAGTAAGTGATGCTTTAGAATTGATCCTCTGTTCGGCACGGATGCACACGATGACCTCGATGGCTGACCTCACCTCGTTTTAACAGTGACACCTGGGGAACAGTAGCTCTGGCGTTTTTCCTTCGTTACCCTAATCGATATTCGTCACATGTCGTCTCTGCCGACGTGTTGTCGCGAACGCTCACGCCAGCCGGCACGCTGCGCACGACCCGGCTTATTCTCAAGAGGGGCGCGTTGCCTGCTTGGTTCCCCAAGGGACTCATGCAACGCGCAGAAAGTTGGATTGTCGAGGAAAGCGAGGTCGACGTGGACGGCAAGGTCTTGACTTGTCGAACACGAAATCTCGACCATGTAAAGGTCATGGAGGTCATTGAAACGACACATTTGCATGAAGCAGAAGACGGGTAGGTTTCTTTTCTGCGTGTTTAACCCTTTAAAGGCGTGGCTCACATTTTTGCCCAGGACAACCGTCCACAAGACGGAAGCGCGCTTTGTTTCTGGCGTCGGTTGGGGTCTAAAGAGGAGAATTGAAGAGTATAGCGCAAGTAAATTCAAGACAAATATCGAAAAGGTGGGCGCGTTTGATAATTTTGCTGTCGTTGATTTTGACGATTGCAAGTCTCGACTTGGTCTCGCTCTGGTCGTCCGACTCTTGCGTGAAGCCAGACTGCAGCTCGGAAACAGAATGACTCAAGATGGGAACCGCTGGAATTACAGTGATATACATGCAGCCGCGTTGGAACCTTCCTCGACTACCCCCAGTTCATCCGCTTCGACGCTGTCTTCCTACCATTCCAATCCGATTAATGTTCCTAACGGCAGTCGAGAAGTCGAGCCATCCTCTTCCATGCAACGCGACCGCTCTCCTTCAAGTTCTCAATCGTCGGTGAATCGAGCTTCAAACGCCAGATGGTGGTGGTGGTCTTCACGAGATTGATGCATATAGACATTTCGCGTCGACTCGTCTGCTTTGCTGTAATTCTTTTCTGTTCCATTGGTTCACGTCGCGTTAGTAGGTAGCATCTGCTCATTTCTGTACACTGTAACAACATCCGAGGGAAAACACGACCAATTACCTTCTCAAATCAGGGATCTGTTCATTAAGTATATTTTCGCGAGGTACAATCGACTAAAATAATCCAGTGGTATGTACGAGGAACAAATCCCGACTGTAAGTTATAGCAAGGTGCCTCTGACAGTGAGAGCGCTCATGAAATCCGATATTTTCGCTCCGAAGAAGAATGGCATCTGTTCGTCTTATTGAACTATGTTTATAATGTGTTCTGGGTGCTGGTGAGCCTCCATAGCGAGCAGAACTGCGCTGACGGCAGGCCGCGGCGGAGACCACGGAACATCGAACCAGTGTGGTTCAAAAAAGACATGGATATAGTGCCCTTAGGAATGGCAACGTTGTTTGAAAGTCGCCTTACGTTGACTGTTCAAGCATCACCCATGGCACTTTCATCCAATATCGCATATATACAGGGCACCACTCTGTCCGGCGTAAATTGAGATGGGACTCGAGTCAGAGCTAGGCGTCGCGTACTTGAAGAGGAGCACAAACGCGTGTGCGCTGCGATTATCGGCTCTGGCTCTGGTCACAGTGCCGGCTGTGTAGCAAAGGGCCAATGAGTAACCAAACGATTCGACAGTTCTCACACGTATCAAGAGGAGAAGAGCGATGATCCGAGTCAAATTCGTCATTGCCTGGAACGCGTACGACGGGACGAGTCTACAGTTACGCAGTCCCCAGCTCGCGAAATAGCCGATTCATAGAGGACAACAGCCAGACTGAACGTTGGGTATTGTCCAACTCTGGTCCAGACTGACTGAGGTACCAGTAGCATATTCCTCGAGTGAGGGAGAGGGAGAGATTGGGATCCGGCCTGGTGGGGGTTTCTATTCACGGGCAACGTGTCGGAGTCTCCATTCCAGTGTAAGAAACAGAGCTTGGGAACCCTCCCGGATACGTTGTCAACTGGTTATGGCCGACATCTGACAGACGGCGGTTCTTGGTTGATGATCAAATTGTTTGGTCGTCTGTGGATTCTGTAGAATATAGCGAAATACGAATGCTATCTTGTAATGTGTGGCCTGCGAGTGGCGTGCGTGGTACCCCGAAATTTGGACTTCGCCAGAAGATCTAGACATCAACGCGTTCTGGGAGAGAGCTCGGTTGGTCTAGGGGACGCGATATCTTCAGATTCGTACTCTTCTCGTGCAAGAACTCGTCCTCTTCGACTCGGCACGTCGCCAACATTGGGATTGGAAATAGCCACAGCGCAGTTTATCGGTACGTTGCGCACCCCCAGCTATCCAAATTATCTCCTGTTATGGACATGCTGACACTGTATCACGTGTGTAGAGCTACACTCGACGAGCGCAACATTCCTGGCCCCGCCTGCTGCTCAACGCCGATAACAGCAACCGCCAGACGTCACCATTTTACATCGCTCTTGTTTATCCACGACTTAGAATCCATCTACACCTTTTCATAATTCACAGGTGAGCTCGTTGTCTCGCTCGCCGCAGCCTCTATGCACGTGTTCTCTCGCCATCAACATTGGCATTCGCTTAGTCTTATTACGCTCTCGTCGCCCCATTCAACGTTGGCCACTTTGCTGACATACCACAGATAACATGGCAAAGAAAAAGAAGGCAGCAGCAGCGAAGAAAGCTGAGGACGTCCCAACATCCACAGCCCCCACACCCGCCCTCGCATCACCAGCAGTCGAGAAGTCGCAGGAAGAGGCCTTGGGTGCCCTGATAAGCCAGGTTGACAATGCGGAGACACCAAATCCAGAACCCACTGAAACACCTGCGCCGGCTGAACCAGTCGTCGAAACTCCTGCTCCAGAGGGTGGAAATGAGGTGGAAGAAGGTGCAGCTGCAACCACAGAACCAGCACAGGAATCTGCAGCAGCAAAGAAGAAAAAGAAGAAGAAGAAAACGGGTGCTGGTGCTGGTGGAGGCGAGACCAAGGACGACGAGGCGCCTGTGGAGAATGCTGGACAGGAAGAGACAAAGGAGGAACCACCAGTTGCTCCTCAGCAAACTGAGGAAGAAACGGAAGCTGCGCGTCTCAAAGCTGAGGAGGAGGAGGCAGAGGCCGCTCGCAAAAAGGCTGAAGAGGAGCTTCTCGCATCTGTTGCTGAGCCGACTACAACCGCAATCACTCGTATGGACCATTGCCCGCGTAACGTACCTTGGTATGATCTCTGCCCCGACTGCTTTCAAGCTCGGTATGTACATCGATCCACCCAGCCCGTCTGTCCCCAGCCATGTTCTAAATCCCTCGCAGTATGACGAATTGTTTGCGAGTTTGATTCTTCAATCGTCGCATAACATCGTCCCGCCCTCAAATTCACTATTTGATCGTGCCAATAGCAGTTCGGGTCGGGTTCCGGGCAGCTCAACCTCCCGGCCCATTCGCCGTCCACGCTCACGAAAAACATCGGGTTCCAGGCCGAGATCCACGGTGCCTACACCATCCGAACTCCTTGAAGATTGCTATCCTCTTCGCTTTGGGGACGGTGCACGTCGAGGCAGCAGGTGCAGTCAGGCACGAGGCAAAACTGCGATCTTCCCCTAAGAAAAAGTACGCAGTTCTGCCTGTGATGACAGGGGCAAGACTGTAATGAGTTCAGGAGTGGCACCGTGTATATAGCTCGGTTATGTATGGCCTCGGCCTCCATTCTAATTTGATCTTGTGAGTTCAACAGCGCTAGTGAAAGGAGTTCACACCCACATCGGTAAGCAAGGGGCGGAACTCACGACCCAACCGGTGCTGCTCATCTGCTTTGAGTTCAGGTTTTCCCCATATGCATTCACCAGCAACTGTACAAACCAGCTTGTGAATTCACGAGCAATTCCGGCAGGACTGTTGCTCCTTTGCTTGGCTCAGGGGCACTCGCGGAATTTGGCAATTATTCACTCCCAAGTCGACCTGTGAGTCCACAGCAAGGTCAATATCTCCGAAGGAATTCACTAGCAGTTGTACAAGCGGTCAATGAATTCACACGCTAGTACGGCGAGGCCCATGGCCACAGGAACTCACTTGCCATTGTACAAACGACCATGAGTTCACGAAAGATATCGTGGACATGACATAGACAGATGCTTCTTTGGTAATTCAGGCAAGCCGGTGAAGTGTGCCGCTGATCACAGTCAGACAAACGGCCCATGAACTCACGGATAGCTGCGGCGGAGTTGACATACATGACCGCCAATCTTGTACTGAGAACAGCGGGCAAAGTGTAGCGCCAAAGAAATTCACTTGGAAGGGGACAAACGACCCGTGAATTCACATATAGGCACGGTGGAGTTGATATACATCACCGCTAATCTTGTATTGAGAACAGCGGGCAAAGTGTAGCGCCGAAGAAATTCACTTGGAAGTGGACAAACGACCCATGAATTCACGTATAGGCACGGTGGGATTGGCATAAATGACTGCTATTCTGGGAATTCAGGGTGACCGGCAAACCATGCCACCGAAGAAATTCACTTTGGAAGTGGACAAACGACCCATGAATTCCTGGATAGCCGTCTGGGGCTGACGTATGCACTACCTTCTTTGGTTAGCATTTTGAATGAACTCGCATGCGTCTTTGCAAACTGCTGATGAGTTCACGAATATTCCTGGCAGAATTTATGATTGCTACCGCAGTTCACTCAGGGTCATAGCAGACATGTTCACCAGCCTGTCGGTAATATATTTCTTGAGTGCCGCGAAAAACTTCTCCCTGTCCATGGATTTGACGCAATCCCTAGAGGAAGCTCGCACTGCGACTCAAGCAGGCCCGCCTCCTGGCGCTGAGCCATTTGACGATTCCAAGTTTTTTGATTATCAATTTCATGGACCTAGAGGTGTGGTGGTGCTGGAAAGACATGACACGCTTGCTAATAAATCCCCTTTTGTGCAGATATCCATGATTACTGGAAACTCATTATCTCGGGTAAAAAATGGGAGCTTGTTTTTGCGCATTGTATTCATCGCTACACCGACATACCTGACGAGGCTTTGTCCCGCATCGAGAACTCGTTCAAAGAACTAGAACAACGACTCTGGAGCGATGCTATCCAGCTTGCACGCTGGTATTGTCAGTATTCGCGGCGAGATGAGAAAGAGAATTTCATTCGAACCATGGTCAATGGGTACCAAGAGATTGACCAAGCCCGCAGCTGGGTTAGGCGGCTTGACACCTGTTCCTTTGAGGAAAAGGTTCATTGTATGCTCGCAAGACATATTCATCACCCTGAGAAGGAGGTAGAGCAGATGATCAATCAGCTTCGCGAGGCCAGTTACCAACGAACCCAGTCGCTCTTTTCCGAGTTCCATATTGACGAAGACAATCATTGGGCTCTCAAAACCGATGAGGAGTTTTATGAAGATGGCTTAGATAGTGATGATATGCCCGTTTCGAATGGGTTGAGCTCATGGGATGCTGACGAGCGCGCGTGTGTACCAAATGTTCTATAGAGCATGAAATGCAACTGTTTGTCGTGTAAAAGTACCGAGGAAATCTAAATACATTGGTTACTGCAAATACCGCACGCTTACTTGCACCTGCCCGTGCCGAGCTAAAAGAATGTCTTCTGTCGTTCAGCTTTGGTCAAGTCGTGCGACTACTTCTCTTAGCCATATAGACGTGAATAGGCGTCCCAATAGACGCAAGAAATCGCCCACAAAGGCAACACCAGACACTCTACCTGATTCCCTCCGGTTCGACCATGATGATGGACACCAGCAAATGGATCTCGACATCACAGAACAATCAATTCTTCCTAAGTGTCATACTGCCATGCCAAGAAAGAAGGTACGAGCTATGAAATTAGTTCTCAGATCATGCGTCGCTCAGTTGAGTAGAACCAACATACCTTTCTTCATGACTGGATCCCCCGTGCTGATGAATATCTGTCTGCACTCCTGGATTACGAGTCATTGGCGAATACGAGTCATTGTCAGTGTGGTTCTGGAATCCCCGCTGCGTTTCTTTGCACGAGCTGTGTCGCACCATGCGTCTGCACTCAGTGTGTAGTGACCTCTCATGCAAAAACACCGTTTCATAGGATCAGAAAGTGGAATGGACTCTTTCTACAAGAGACTTCTCTTGCCGAATTGGGTCTGGTGGTTTACTGTGGACACGGCGGTCATCCATGTCCAAACTCGACTACTCCAACAAGGCTAATAGATCTTCATCTTGATGGATTTCACCCCTTACGAATCTCCTTCTGTGGCTGTGATACGGCTCGAGCAGCTGATATCCAGTTATTTCAATCCCGAATGTTCCCAGCCTCGGTGGATAACCCGAGAACAGTATTCACATTTGAAGTACTGGAACACTTCCGCATACTGAATCTCGAGGGAAAGGGGAGCATTCATGCATACAGTTAGCCCAAAAACTGTTCACACCGCCACCTCGGCCGCCTTGCTACCCCTGTATCGCTCGTATTAGTTAGTCTAAATCTATGTAAAGGTCATTTGAGTATACTTCAGTATCTTTTTTATATCTGAAAGAGATGTCAAGAGTTTAGAAACTGTGTAGATCTAGAAATCGAGGTACAAAAAGGGAGACTCTCGTGAATAGTTTTTGTGCATTTTGTGACACACCCCTAGATCACGTGAATTAGAGTTCTAGCAGCCTTGTAAACAGTTACAAATAACGGAATGAGATATATAAGGGTCATTAGAGTCATTGGTATGTCGCTATCACATCATGTCACCTCTCTCCAAGCAGAAACAGCTCGAACTTCGTCATCTGCTTTTGGCGGGCAAATCCTACTCGTCTATTAGCAAAAGTCTTGGTATTGCACCTCCAACTATCTCAAAATATAAGAAGAAATGGGATTTGGAGCTTACCCATAAGCCTGGTGGCCGTCCTACCAAGGTTTCAGAGCGTACTCGGAGTGCAGCCGTGCGCCTGGCACTTGGCAGCAAGACCTATACTGCCAGGAGAGTAAAGCAAGCACTCGGAATCAACATCTGCACACAGACAGTCCGTAATGTGCTCAAAGAGGAGGGGCTTAAGGCCTATGTCAAGGTCAAGAAGCCCTTACTTACTCGGAGGCACATGAAGGCTCGTCTTGATTTTGCCTACAAGTACCGCCACTGGACTCCTGAAGACTGGGATCGAGTTATATTCTCAGATGAGACCAAAATCAATCGATGTGGCTCTGATGGGAAGAAGTGGTGTTGGAGGGAGAAGGGATCCAAGCGACAGCAGCATCAGCAGACGAGCACAGTCAAGCATGGAGGAGGCCATGTGATGATATGGGGATGCTTCAGCACGTCTGGACGAGGAAAAATGTGCAACATTGATGGTATTATGGATGCTGAGAAGTATGCTCGCATCCTTGACCAGAATCTCCTCGCTTCAGCCCGCAGCCTTCGACTCACACACGAGGAGGATTCATCTTCCAGCAGGACAACGACCCAAAGCACGCCTCAGCAACAGCTCGAGACTGGTTTGAAACTCATGAAATCAGACTTCTTGACTGGCCTTCTCAGTCCCCCGACCTCAATCCGATCGAAAACCTGTGGAGAGAGCTCAAAATGATTCTCAACGATTATCCCACCTGGCCGAGCAGTATAGACGAACTAGTGAGACGAATTGAAGTGGAATGGGGGCGTATATCAAAGGAGAAGTGTGAGAAGTACATTAGAACTATGCCCAATAGACTGGAGGCGGTAATTAGGGCGAAAGGGGGTAGCATTGACTATTGAACAAAAACTATTCACGAGAGCCTCCGTTTTTGTACCTCGATTTCTAGATCTACAGCGTTTCTGAACTCTTAATATCACTCTCAGATATAGATAAGATACTAAAGTCTTATAAAAAGTCCTATACATAGATTTAGACTAACTATTACGAACAGTACAGGGGTAGCAAGGCGGCCGGGGTGGCGGTGTGAACAGTTTTTGGGCTAACTGTACACCGAAGCTTTATGTCGTCTCACTAGCAGTCGTGATGGAACAAGCAATATCCCGGTGGGTGTTTGGTGCTGTATGGAAGGGATTTCTCACCGATTATTATAGGATCGTGTGAGAGAATTCAGACGTGTTGCTCGTCAATGGAGTTATTTAATAGCACGAAGGGACTCAGGCGTCTATGGAACCAGAACAAGCCACTCGTCCCAATTATGCTCAAAATGTCCCGCATGCCCACAGCCTGGAATAAACGTCGATGAGAATTGGCAGGAAACAACACCAGAAGATAAGTGGTACGACGCCTTGCCATGCTCTAATATCTGACTAATTATTTTTGGATTAGGTGGCTATTGCGACGATATGTTCACTTTGGTGCAAACTTTCGCCTGGCCCTATCAAAGCAAGAAAAACGATGCTCACTTGATACAGCATTGTGGATGGATGGTGGATTCTTTGCTGATCCACAACAGTATCGTGATTATTTGTCAACTGTGAGCACGGTTCAACAAGAGGTGAGTATATTCGGTCTTGCTATCCCGGTCTCACTTAGTGGCCAAGACTTCCGACTGCTCAAATTATCGTGCTGTTTCAAACATATCACGGAGCCGATTCAATAAACTTGAAGTTACTGGCATTGCGGGAGCCGTTTGTAGGCACGAGTGTGCAATTCCTCAAGGATTTGTTGACTTGTTCAAAGGCGAGCGGTAAGTGACCATCTCTCCAGTCATTATTAACTGTAATATATTTCCGAATCAGCTACGTCAACTCGGACTTTGCAATTTCACGTATTGTGACCCAAATGAATGGAATCCGGGATGTCGCCCTCACCTATGACATAGCCTGTCAATACAGCCGCAACTTCCAGAGACGATTTGATTCACTAGCCGCCTTTCTCCGGCTACCACCGCATTTGCGAATCATTTTTTTGGTTCCCAAATTCCATCTTCCAGCCCATAAAGAAGCATGTCGTTATCAGTACTCACTCAATTTCTGCAAGAATGTTGGACGCACAGATGGGGAAGCTATTGAGCGCTTCTGGAGTGCCCATAACTATCTCTCTGGCAGCACGATGCGCACGAGCCCATGTTCCCGACAAGATGCCCTCAATTTCCACTTCAACTACTGGAACTGGAGGAAAACACGCAAGATGGGTGGGTCGCTCTCTTCGGATTGATACTGGGAGCTAACTATGTGAAGGCAAAACGCTACTAAAGCGTCTTCAGAATGCACGAGAAATGCTTGTTCAGCATACAATCCTCCTTGCTGACCTACGAGATAGTGTGGGGGTTGAGAAATCCACGGTATGAGCACGCTTCCCCACAGGCTTCTCACTGGAATGATCTTAGGTATGGTCACAACTAGAGGACAACTACATGATAAGGCAGGGTGAACACACCATTTATCAAACACTCGCAGATCGAGGTGCGTTGCCTTCTCAACAAGAAATGCCACTAAGCTTCTGTAGCTCCAACGCGGTTACAAGTTTTGCAGAGATTAACCCAATTCAACAATGATCTCCAGCCGTTAGGAGCTGAAGATGACAATCGTCCAGCAATGGTGCTTTGGATCAACGACGGCCTTGAAATTGAAGAACAGCAGTCAGTCCTTACTTTATATTTCTAGAAGTAGTCTTATATTACCACCAGAGCACGACTAATTGTACTTATACAATCTACCATTGGTGGAACGGAGCGTCAGTTGGTGGAACTCAACCGGAAAAGAGCCAACCTCAGCGAGAGAATAAATGCATGGAAGGCAAGAGCTCCGGATAATGGGCAAGATGATGGTGACGATGAGCCTACACACAATCCGGAATTACAGAGGCTTATGTTGCCATCTCAGCTGCCATACCACGACCAGAATGAAGAACTTCGGCGGATTGAGAAAGAGCTTCGGGAAGCTCAGGCCTTCGACTACCTACGTGCTCTCAGAACCAGCCTTGCGGAGAAGATTGCACTGGTGCGTGACAAGGAAACAAACCAACGTGGAAATCAAGCGAATGCACGAGCACGTTCAGTAATTGATCGTGTTCAGATGCGTATCGACTTTGAGGCATCCAGATATCGCGTTTCATTCAGTGCTCTTCAGAGACTTGGTGGAGTGGATAATGTGGAGCTCATGCCACTTGCCCCTCAGGACGTTTCCATTGCTAATGTCTTCCGGTTTACATGCGACTTAGAACGTGGCTATAATACTTCAACATCCTGGATTTGGCGGCGACACGCTGTAGGAGAACAAGCAATGGACAATGACTGGTTAAATGAATGTGAGTTCTGGTCGCATCTGTTTCGAAATCTCATGTCATTTTTAGTCCTCCGAGTTCGCTTTCTAGAGGCAAAGGTCAACCATGATCGGTGGAAGGAGGAATGCGAGCTTGTGCGTGTGGAGCTTGGATACACATATCGCTCATTTCGTCACTGGCAATGGGAATGGATCCAGAAGGCACAGCATAGTCAGGTGGCTGGCGAGGTTGCACATTCTCACCTCATGTCGCATCTCTATGCGATGTTGGCCCATGAGGTGGGCGAGATCATTGTTCAAGTTGATCATGGTGGAGCATAGTAATACAAACTTGTGCACTTGAATCGTAACATCATACTCTGGGTAATCCAAATAAGCTCTCCAGTTTGAAATCCAATGTCGAGATGCCTAGCCAACAGAGTGCTGACTATGGTCAATATGAATTCACAAATCAGTGAGCCTGAACAAATTTGAAATGAACTCATGTTGCAACATTTACAAGGCCAGGATGAGCGACGACCATGAGCTTCCAAACCATGAATTGAATACTTGAGTACTTAGTGCTTCTCCCTATATCCACGAATACTCGAAACAAGCAACAAGTTAATTTGATGTGGAGATCGCATTTGATAGCACTTGTCACGCAGTGGCAGAGTGGCAATGCAAAGGAGCGGATATAAATTGTGGAGATTTGATCGTGTTTACCTCATTCTGTTTGCTTACTGCTCTGTCTGAGACTTTTTGTTCATTGTCTAGGTGCAATTATTACACAACTCCACGATATGTCGACAGAACTGAACTGCAAGATATGCATCAAGCTGAGATCGCTTGATTCAACACTTGGTTTCATATTCTTCCGCATACTATTTCCACCTTTTTTTTGCCTTATATCGGGCATGGGATGACTGTCGTTGCGAGTTGAGCATAAAAATGAACAGTTCAGTCAAATTGCATTAGAGCCTATAGGCCACGGGTGGTGTTAGAATTCAGATAATTATACACTAAGATCTATCTTATGTCATTTAGAGAGCCATTTATGTAGTCCATGGTCCTTGTAATGTCTAAAGCGGGATTTTCTGGAGCCAATATCACTATTTCTTTGGGGAAATCTGGATTGGCGAAAGAAAAGTGCAAAACAAGCATTTTAATTTCACTTTTACGTTGAATGACAGAGACGAAACTGCGAAATAGTATCTCCTTAGCGCTCCAGGAAGCCGCCAAACTTATTGGCCCACGCAACTCGTCTCTCTTACAGATGGAGATATGTTAGGATAGACAAATCAGGTATTCCTGTGGCTTCCTCATTGCATACTTCCCATAGCAACCCTTGGGATAGGTGGAGAACATCTCAAGCTTCTCGGTTGGGACGGCGGTGTTGCATGTGATGAGAGTGGTCATGACACCACCAGGAGTCTCAATGTCAGTGGAGAGTGGGGCCATATTGTGAAAGAGAATCTCCTGGGTCTTCTCCGAGGTGTCACCCGAGGGTATGATAGCATGGACAGTGGCACCATAGACGACGCGTGATGGCCTAGTCTGGGTTGATGCTCTTGTTGGCCTCCTTGCTGTTGAAGAAGTCAGAGACGATACATGAGATACGGGTCGAGCCACCAAAGAGGTCGATTTTATGGACGTTCGACTTGTCATTCCGCAAGTCTCTTAAGGCCTTCTTGACCAGGTCGTGGGTACCGCCATAGAAGAGGTCATAGGAAAGCCCTTTGAAATGAGCATGGATAATGGAGGTGTGGAAGTCGATGCCCTCAAAGAGCGGGTCAATTTCGATGGTGGTCTGAATGGGCAGCCGAGGAGAGGGTGCGCTTCGCACACTCGCAAGCAGTATGAAGACGGCGGAGGGCACGAGCGTTCGAAGAGAGATCCTTCTTGTGCTTGCGCTTGAATTCTTGGACGATCACAAGAAACAGGTAGTATGATTATTTTATGATACGTACTACCCCATCCGACACGCTTAGTCCCACTGGTTGCTTCTGGCGCTCCGAGCGACGCAGACTGTCAGGATCGGGAGGGTCAAGTTTCCGTTTCTTCCTCAGCGGTTTGCCAGAACTTGTGTCCGGGTTCTTTGCACGTCCGAGATGATATTTTGACTTGTTGAGAGCTTGTGGCCGATCTGTAGCTATTGTTCTGTCAGGCATGCCACGAAAATATAAGGGACAAATACCTTGTTCAGTTGGAGGTGGAACCTTAGTCGACGGAGGTAACCCACGAAGTTCAGCAAGGGGGCCCTGAGAGACATTCCGAGGCTGCAAATCAGAGGACTGAGATGGCCCTGGGACTTGTAAGTATGGATGGATCGGCCCTGACTGCACAACTACGAGACAAGATGGTGAGATCATGCTAAAATGAGGCCACAACGCACCAAAATCATCAATCAAAGATGGTCGAGGGGTGTCTGCCAGTGGTAGCGGCGGCCAAGTGGGCGACTCTGTCAAGAAAAGAGGTGTTTTCAGAGAAGACGGCTCCTCTGAATTGAGATTTGGGCGCGTTTCATTGTCGCTGTTGTCCACTTCATGTGGTGTGAGATTGGCGAACACAATCCAGCAGTGACGCACCATTACCAAACTGCTTAATCGCGAGATTCTTGAGGGTTTGCTTGAAGATCATACCATGTTCCCATGTTTCATTGCCGCCATCCTGAATGTCAGCAAACCAAGTGAGCCACGCGTCAACAACCTGCTTGCTAGGGCAACTCGTCTTATAAAAAGGAAGTTCGGGAGGTAAAATCTTTCCCGCTTCATCTTTTATCTTTGGAAAGTAGTCGGAGTATGCAATCTGCGTGAGATGGCGCGAAATTCTCTTCCATGGTATTGTCGGAGCCTCAAGCTTGCCATCCTTCATCATTGGACGCATTGCGTCTCGGCGACTTGCTAGAATACAACATGAGGTACATTTCGACTATCCAACTGTTCACTCACCGTAACGATCTGAGATGAGAAAGCGCAGGATTGTGCGTCCCAGGTGAAGATTTGGATACCTGGGCATACCTGGACGTATGTTCTCGATGATTCTGACTCCCTCGCGCTCTCCAATCGAGGTGAAATCCCCCTCCTTGCTTGTGAAGACCGTTGTGTGGGGAGCGTGACGATCCTCCTGTGGATTGACCTGAGTTTCAACTGCCTTCTTCGACGCCTTCTCCCGAGGCCTCTTTTTTTCTGCAATCAACTCGCGCTCAATCGCATCTACAAGCCATTAGAGCAATTATTGTCTCTCGCCAAACGTACTCATGTCCTCCTTTGCCTGGTCTTGATACAATTGGTTTGCATATCCTTGGAAGCTTGCGTTTACTAGACGCCAGACTCGCGGGTCAGCCTTGGATTGCCAGTCCACCCAAGACGGTGCACCATCAGGCTGAATAGCAATCCTATGATATTAAATATCAGTAGATATTTATGGTTCGAAATGCAAGTCTTACATCTTTGCTTCAGGAGGCCCGCCGTTGGCATCCGGGATCCAAATGACAGCGAGAGATGGCCAGTTGAAAGCCGAGTATGTATCGCGAACAAGCGAATGCCATTCACTGTTGACGAGATCGCGCTTATGCCTTACAAAGTCAGAATGATCAATAACAAAACGAGTCACTTACTGAGGTGTCATTAGTACAAATGTCTTCTCAATTTGCGAGAAGAGGGTCGTAAAATTCTCCCATGCCTTGATTTGCGATCCGTCCAATGGAAATTGCTCCTTCTGCTTCATTCTGCGGGCAATAATAGAGCGGATCTCGTCCGTCACTTCATCTCTGTACTTCTGCGCCACGTAGTTGATTTTCTGTGCGTTATTTCCTGCATGAAAATCTTTCCACAGCACCTGGGCACTTCGCTTTGGAGGGGCGAATGTATTTTGACGTCGCGAGAAGTCCACACGATGACGACGGGTGATGATATGAATACCGGTTGGATTCTCAAACCCGCTGGGATCGCTTTTGTTGGTGTCGCTACCAGCATTGCTGTCGGAGTCAGTCTGTGCATCCTGATCCTGCAAGTCTTCGGCGCTACGAGGGTCAAACCATTGCTCCTCATCCTCTGACGAATCCGTGTTGCGGTCACTGGCGGCGGCCCCGTATGATGTGGGAGGCGAATTGAGACGTTGCAAGTGCCCGCCAGGAGGATGAGCATCGCTAGACATTGGAAGGGGGTTATGTTCGCGTTCGTGAGGGTCGTGCGTTTGGGCGACTCTGGTCTCCTGACCGGGGTGGTGATGGGCAAGTGGTGAAGGGATACCCAAACTGGTGCTACCATGTCCCTCGTAGTATTCAACCTGGCGGTACCCAGCGGAGATACCTCCTACTGATTGGGGGAGTGTTGGGTAAGGATCTTCGTGATAATATCCAGCAGCGGTAGGATCGGCGGGAGTGGGCTGGGTAGACAACGTGGTATGGAGATTGTGGTAATGGTGGCCCGAAGTACCGGTGCTCTGCAAATTATGTGCTTGAGCGGTGGAGTACGGCGGATACGACACCTGGGCAGCTTGTGATCCATGCTGCAGGTAAGATTGATGACCATACTGCGTCTGATAGTGATTACTCCACGTTGTCTTGTTAGCAATAGCAACCATCTTTTTCATGTTGGTCGTGAGCCATTCAGGAGGAAACCGTCGCAATTACATACCGGCTGGTGGAGTGCTCTATGGTCATTGTAGTACTGAGACGGGAGTTCTTCATGCACAGATTCGTCCATAGGATTCGGAGGGTACAGTGATATCGTGAACACAGACCAAACTGGCATCGGTCTTAAATATGGGGCCTTGTATTGACATCGGATACACTAGAAATTATAATAGGAATTTTCCAGATCTGAAGGAGGCTAGTCCCAATTCTGGGTATGCAGAAGAAATGGTACTTGTCGTGGCATGTCCATGCGTTTGATGTCAAAGCGCCATAACTACATGACAGGTAAATATCTCATGTAGATTTATAGTCTGTCCCACATCATCCGACTTCTCCAATCGCTGGGTAATATGACCAGCAAGCTTCGAGCGCTCTCAGACCCAGAACCAACGACATGCCCAATTTGCATTCGAGTGTTCAGTACAGTCTCAAGCATGAGAAGACATTTCAAGGCTATTAATCCCTGCTGGCTCAAGAAGGAGTCCAAGAGAGCTACGGCAAAGAAGCAACTGAGGAGTGCAATAAATCATCGATATTACATCCGGTGAGGCTCCTTTGAAAGATTTCCAGCCATTTCTGATGAATAGAATCAGACATCAGGATGTAATTCTGGAGAATCGCTCAAGAAACCCACGTGCTTAATTCATAGTACGTGGATATAATTCCAACTAGGCTTAATCGCCTTAAAATATTCCATATATCTATAATCTATCGATTAAGCAAGTAATTCGTCTGTGTTCAATTTTTGTAAACCAACTGGTGGCAAATCTCTACCTGTATTCTTGAGCTCATGACAGGGACACAGTATCGGTTGTGAGTTCCGCCAAAGCAGTCCGTTAATTTATATATCAGTTGCCAAATGCAATAAATATTTGATTGCGAGGCCCGCTATGGCCCTGAGTGAACTGCGGTAGCAATCATAAATTCTGCCAGGAATATTCGTGAACTCATCAGCAGTTTGCAAAGACGCATGCGAGTTCATTCAAAATGCTAACCAAAGAAGGTAGTGCATACGTCAGCCCCAGACGGCTATCCAGGAATTCATGGGTCGTTTGTCCACTTCCAAAGTGAATTTCTTCGGTGGCATGGTTTGCCGGTCACCCTGAATTCCCAGAATAGCAGTCATTTATGCCAATCCCACCGTGCCTATACGTGAATTCATGGGTCGTTTGTCCACTTCCAAGTGAATTTCTTCGGCGCTACACTTTGCCCGCTGTTCTCAATACAAGATTAGCGGTGATGTATGTCAACTCCACCGTGCCTATATGTGAATTCACGGGTCGTTTGTCCCCTTCCAAGTGAATTTCTTTGGCGCTACACTTTGCCCGCTGTTCTCAGTACAAGATTGGCGGTCATGTATGTCAACTCCGCCGCAGCTATCCGTGAGTTCATGGGCCGTTTGTCTGACTGTGATCAGCGGCACACTTCACCGGCTTGCCCTGAATTACCAAAGAAGCATCTGTCTATGTCATGTCCACGATATCTTTCGTGAACTCATGGTCGTTTGTACAATGGCAAGTGAGTTCCTGTGGCCATGGGCCTCGCCGTACTAGCGTGTGAATTCATTGACCGCTTGTACAACTGCTAGTGAATTCCTTCGGAGATATTGACCTTGCTGTGGACTCACAGGTCGACTTGGGAGTGAATAATTGCCAAATTCCGCGAGTGCCCCTGAGCCAAGCAAAGGAGCAACAGTCCTGCCGGAATTGCTCGTGAATTCACAAGCTGGTTTGTACAGTTGCTGGTGAATGCATATGGGGAAAACCTGAACTCAAAGCAGATGAGCAGCACCGGTTGGGTCGTGAGTTCCGCCCCTTGCTTACCGATGTGGGTGTGAACTCCTTTCACTAGCGCTGTTGAACTCACAAGATCAAATTAGAATGGAGGCCGAGGCCATACATAACCGAGCTATATACACGGTGCCACTCCTGAACTCATTACAGTCTTGCCCCTGTCATCACAGGCAGAACTGCGTACTTTTTCTTAGGGGAAGATCGCAGTTTTGCCTCGTGCCGGACTGCCATAGGTGACAGCTACGCAGTCCCCAGCTCGCGAAATAGCCGATTCATAGAGGACAACAGCCAGACTGAACGTTGGGCATTGTCCAACTCTGGTCCAGACTGACTGAGGTACCAGTAGCATATTCCTCGAGTGAGGGAGAGGGAGAGATTGGGATCCGGCCTGGTGGGGGTTTCTATTCACGGGCAACGTGTCGGAGTCTCCATTCCAGTGTAAGAAACAGAGCTTGGGAACTCTCCCGGATACGTTGTCAACTGGTTATGGCCGACATCTGACAGACGGCGGTTCTTGGTTGATGATCAAATTATTTGGTCGTCTGTGGATTCTGTAGAATATAGCGAAATACGAATGCTATCTTGTAATGTGTGGCCTGCGAGTGGCGTGCTTGGTACCCCGAAATTTGGACTTCGCCAGAAGATCTAGACATCAACGCGTTCTGGGAGAGAGCTCGGTTGGTCTAGGGGACGCGATATCTTCAGATTCGTACTCTTCTCGTGCAAGAACTCGTCCTCTTCGACTCGGCACGTCGCCAACATTGGGATTGGAAATAGCCACAGCGCAGTTTATCGGTACGTTGCGCACCCCCAGCTATCCAAATTATCTCCTGTTATGGACATGCTGACACTGTATCACGTGTGTAGAGCTACACTCGACGAGCGCAACATTCCTGGCCCCGCCCGTTGCTCAACGCCGATAACAGCAACCGCCAGACGTCACCATTTTACATCGCTCTTGTTTATCCACGACTTAGAATCCATCTACACCTTTTCATAATTCACAGGTGAGCTCGTTGTCTCGCTCGCCGCAGCCTCTATGCACGTGTTCTCTCGCCATCAACATTGGCATTCGCTTAGTCTTATTACGCTCTCGTCGCCCCATTCAACGTTGGCCACTTTGCTGACATACCACAGATAACATGGCAAAGAAAAAGAAGGCAGCAGCAGCGAAGAAAGCTGAGGACGTCCCAACATCCACAGCCCCCACACCCGCCCTCGCATCACCGGCAGTCGAGAAGTCGCAGGAAGAGGCCTTGGGTGCCCTGATAAGCCAGGTTGACAATGCGGAGACACCAAATCCAGAACCCACTGAAACACCTGCGCCGGCTGAACCAGTCGTCGAAACTCCTGCTCCAGAGGGTGGAAATGAGGTGGAAGAAGGTGCAGCTGCAACCACAGAACCAGCACAGGAATCTGCAGCAGCAAAGAAGAAAAAGAAGAAGAAGAAAACGGGTGCTGGTGCTGGTGGAGGCGAGACCAAGGACGACGAGGCGCCTGTGGAGAATGCTGGACAGGAAGAGACAAAGGAGGAACCACCAGCTGCTCCTCAGCAAACTGAGGAAGAAACGGAAGCTGCGCGTCTCAAAGCTGAGGAGGAGGCAGAGGCCGCTCGCAAAAAGGTTGAAGAGGAGCTTCTCGCATCTGCTGCTGAGCCGACTACAACCGCAGCCAAGAAGAAGAAGAAAAAGGGCAAAGCTGCTACGCCGGCCGTCGAGAGTCAAGTCCAGTCGGCCGTCATGTCACCCACCGACGAGAACCCACCTGGAGTTGATGAAGGTCAAGGTTATTTCGCTGGTGGCACCACTCAACAAGAACCCGAATCTGCCCCTCAGCCGGAGCCAACAGTCCAGCAAGACTCTGTCACCCACGATGCACCTCCAAAGTCTCCAGCTCGCTCGACTCGTGGCCTGGATCCGACTTCACCAACAAACGATACATTTCTCAACGCTGGGAATACTGCTGCACCTCGCTCTCCTCTGCGTTCCCCAATCAAGGACGCCTTTGCGGACTCGACAGACGCACCACCTATAGCTCCTCGCTCTCCGCTCCGCTCACCGGCACCATTAAATCCTGAGCACGCTCCTCCAAAATCTCCACTTCGATCGCCGCTCAAAGATACCTTTTTAAACTCTGGAGACGCTCCACCTCACTCACCTGCGCGTTCGCCACAAAGATCGCCTCGTCCACTTCCCCAAGCACCGCTCCCGCCCTCTAGTCCACGTATTCCGCCTCTTCAAACTTCAATGCAGTCCCCTGAGAGGGGTCCTGGACACCCAACCCAAGGGCCTCCTTCGCCCGTCAACCGGCGAGAGCCTCAGCCGTCTCATGGATTTGGCTCGCCAGCTACGCCGCGCGACAACAACCAATCACCCCGTGGATTCGACTCTAATCCTCGAGGGAACTCGCCAGTCAGACAACGTGGGCCTCCTCAACAAGGGCTCGGTGGGACGGGTGCTTGGGGAGCGTCGCCGGCCAGACAACGCGAACCTCCTCAGCAGAATCGTGGCTTTGGGTCGAGTGGGTTCGGAAACGATTCTCGTGGTGGAGGAGGTGGATTGGGCTGGGGATTTAGCTCTCAGCCAAAGCCGGCGCCGGCGCCTCCACAACAGACCAATTCTGGTGGGTTTGGCTTGGGTGGGTGGCTTGGAAGCGCGGCGACGTCTCTCTTTGGCGGATTTGGCGGCAATTCCCCTCCGCCCCCTGAGCCAAAGACTGGATTTGGCTTCGGTAGTTTGGGCGGTTCGCAACAGGGCGCACGAACACAGTCTAAACGTACATCGTTTGACAATTATGAAGACCCGTTCAGGACACCCAGTCGGTTTGAGGACCCATACAAACAACCTCAGCAGTGGGAGGATCCATTCGCCAAACGAGGTGGACGTAATGCTCGGGAACAGCAGCACGTCTCTCCAACGTCTCCTACGGACCGGAGGACTGGATTCGGTAGTCTTGCCAACGCTCAACCCCTCTCAGCTGCAACGCCGACCCGTGTCGAACCAGAGCCAGAGCCAAAGCCAATCGTAGCACCTCAACCTGAACCTATAACGGTTGCGCCGGTGGCTCCAGCTGAGCCTCCTGCGTTCACTGTTACAGAAGATCCGCACAAAGAGGGCGGACATGCCGCTACCGAGCAGCCCAAGTTTGACGCTTGGTTCGACCCTCCACCACCGGAAGATGAGGAAGAGGTCGCCGTTGCCGAAAAATTCTTGGGAGAGCAGCTCGACCCGAGTTTCCGTCGAGACAATGTCGATTTCCAAGAGGTTGGCTTGGACGGTGGAGATGCTGCCATGGAACTTGGAAGAACGCCCATGAAAGCTGCGGCGGTCGAATTGCCCAAGTCGCCCTTCATCGGTGGTGGTGCCAAAATTGACGAAGTGGACCCTTGGGCGACACCAAAGAGTACAGCAGGTGTGGCGTTGCCAAAATCGCCGTACCTTGGTGCAGGAACGATTGACGGTGCACCACGATCGCCTGCCCATGTAGCAAACGATCTCGAAGGTCCACCAAAGTCTCCTCGTATTGCGCCGAGTCGGGCTCGTACCCCACTTCCCGAGATTCCAATGACTGCGGAGATTGTAGACCGACCCAAGACGCCTGTCGTGGTTGATGATCCACCGCCACCGCCAGCAGCAGAACCCGTCGCTCCAGAGCCTCAAACGCCAGTCGAGCCTCTTGAAGAGGCGTCGAAGCCCGGTGCCAAAAAGAAGAAGAAGAAAAAGGGTGCCAAAGCCAAGGAGGAAACATTTTTGTCTCCCGAGACCCCAGCTGGAGAGGATGAGGAGAAGACGCTCATGCAAGAGCGCGCCGAGCTCGAAAAGAAGAAAAAGGAGGAAGAGGAGCGTGCCGAGGCGGAACGTATCGCCGCTGAGGAGAAGGCTGCTGAGGAGCGTCGTCTTGAGGAAGAGCGTCTCGAACAGGAGAGAATTGCAGAGGAACTTGCTGCTGAAGAAGCACGGCTCAAGGCTGAAGAGGAGGAAAGAATCCGACTTGCTGAAGAAGAGGCTCGTCTCGAGGCGGAACGCGTAGCAGAAGAGGAAGCACGTATCGCTCGCGAGAAACTTCAGGAGGAGCAAGCCCGTGCCGCTGCACGAGAAGCTGCCATGATCGCTGCCGTCGAGGCTCGTCGCGCCGCCGAAGCCGAAAAGGAAAGATTGGCCAAGGAGGCTGCTGAAGAGGCAGAACGGCTCGAAAAGGAGCGCATCGAAAAGGAGGAAGAAGCTCGACGTGCTGCAGAGGAGGCGGAACGGCTTCGGAGAGAAAAGGAGGAAGAGGAAGAGAGGAATAGGAAAGAAAAGGAAGAAGAGGAGAAACGTCGCGCGAAGCAAGAGGCTGCGATGATCGCAGCTATTGAAGCACGTAGAGAAGCCGAGGCTGCAAAGGCACGCGAGTTGGCAGAGGCCGCAGAAGAGGCGGAAAGGGCACGCATTGCAGAGGAAGAGGCTCGAGCGGCGAGAGAGGCCAAAGAAAAGGAGGAACAAGAGGAAAGAGAGCGTGAAGCTGCGATGAAGGCGCGACGGCAAGCGTTGGCAGCCGCTGCGTCGTTTGCGGCTATCGAGGCCAAACGCGCGGCAGATGAGAGAAAACGCCTCGAAGAGGAACGCAAACGGTTGGAAGAAGAAAGGATTCGTGCAGAAGAGGAGGAGAAACTCCGCGCAGCAGAGGAAGAACGTCGTTTGGCACACGAGCGCGAGGTTGAAGCAGAGTTGGCTCGCATCGAGGCGGAGCGTATCGCCGAGGAGGAGCGTATCGAAGCCGAACGTCTCGCTGAAGAAGAGAGATTGCGCATCGAACGCGAGGAGGCAGAGGCTAGACAGGCAGAAGAGGATCGACTGGCATTCGAGGCCGCAGAAGAGGAAGCACGCAGGCTTGTCGCCGAGGCCACTGCAAAGATTGAAGAGGAGAGAAGATTGCAAGAGGAAGCAGAGGCGGAGGAGAAGCGACAGGAAGAGGCCAGACTCAAGGCCAATGCAGAGGCCGAAAAGCAGCGGAAGAGCGAAAAGAAGAAGAAACGCAAGCAGGGCAAGGACGATGCTGCTGCACGGCTGGAAAAGGAGCGCAAGGATCGCGAGGAAGCGGAGCAACGCGAGCGTGAAGAACGCGAGGAGCAGGAGAGACTCGCCCTCTTGGAGGCCCAGAGACTCGAGGCGGAGAACCAAGAGATGGAACGTATCGCTCGCGAGCTGGAAATTGCCCGATTGGAAAGAGAGCGTATCGCGCGCGAAGAGGAAATCCGCCGTCTCCAAGAAGCCGAGGCTGCACGTTTGGAGCAAGAGCGACTCGAGCAAGAGAGAATCCGGCTTGAGGAAGAAAAGGCCGAACGAGAGCGCCAGGAGGCTGAGCTCGAAGCCCAGCGCATCGAAAATGAGCGTCTGGAGCGTCTCCGCATCGAGGAAGAGCGGCGTCTAGAGTTGGCACGCTTGGAACAAGAGAGACTGGAGGAAGAAGCCAGAAGACACGCCGAGCGCGAGAAACAGCGATTGGCCGACGAGGCGCGCGAGTTGGCTGCCAAACTCGAAGCTGAACGAATCCGGCAGGAAGAGGAGAGACGCGAGGCCGAGAGACTGGCACAGCTGGAGAAGGAGCGCGCGGAGCAAGCGGCGGCACAGGCTTCCACCAACGAGCGCGAGATTACTTCCAAGGATCTTGAAGACCGCTTCGCTACTCTGCGGTTATCACGTATTCGCAAGACGGACTTGTGGCTGAAGATGCCGGAACCGGATCAGGCGGAGAGTGATGCGCCCAGCGCGCCTTCAAGTCCTCGGTCTGGTGCGAGCATGAGTCCAGTTTCGAGTGATTTGGACGAGGCGAGCGACTTGGGCCAGCCGCCGGATAGCCCTCGCTTTGACCCAGACTCGCCACTTCCAACGCGCAAGATTGTGTATCCAGTTGGGGATCTGAGGCAGCTCAAGGACTTTGGCATGAATTCGACGCGGTCAATTGCGAGTAGCGTCGCTCCAGTCGCACCGTCAAGTCCGCCCCGTCAGGCAACACCCTTGTTGTTGATGAATGGGACGAAGCGATGACTGAGGGTATGTGCCATTGATACAATGTCGATCATTGCTGACGAGTTGGGTAGACGACGGGATTTTGACGTGGACGCTCTGAGCTTGTGCATTGCTTTCATTTATTGAACTATGGCTGTGTATGATTACTTGCATTCTATGACTTGGTTCCCTGTTGAGCTCTTTGATGAACCTCGACCACTTGATCGTGTCGCGAATCTTGAGTTCAAACATGGGCCATGAATAGCTCGTTTATCGCCATCACATCGATTCTGATCGTCTTTGTGTGCTGACATGGTCAGGCGGTGCCTCTGACTCTTGGCTCCCTACGCCTCCGAGAGGGACTGATGGCACAAGTTCGATATGACTATCTGCTACGAGTGTGTTGTCTCCTTATCACTAGTAACTGCTAAGAGGCATTTGCGTGGGTGTCAACTGGCCTACTATCCTCACAGGTCCTGCTTGTTGGGGATGCCGGAGTCGGCAAGAGTTGCTGTGAGTCCTTTGATATACATCTTCTGATGCGGATACTCCAACTCCTCCGAAACAGTGCTATCGCGGTTTATGCATGACCAATTTGAGCTCGCATACAACCTGAGAGTGGGATGTGACCTTGGGATAAAGACGATCGAAATTAGTGGACACGATGCGAGGATCATTATTTGGGATATTGGTCAGTTGCAGGAGCAGTTTCAAGGGGTGTCGCTGTTGACCGGTTTTCCTTTAATATACAGCCGGTCATGAACGTTTTCACACCATAACAGCAAGGTATATGACATTTAACCAATGAGTGATGCCTTCGGCTTACTTGTGGATAGGTATTATCGCGACGTGGAGGCCATTGCGCTCGTCTACGATATCACCTCACGCCAATCATATAGGAATCTTGCCTATAAAGTCAAAAATATCCACACTCTGGCACGACCGGTCCGTTTTCTTTCATTCCCATCTTCACAATGGCTCACCATCTCAGGACACGACGGTCGTGCTCATAGGAACCAAGGCGGACTGTGAACCCCTCCGACAAGTCTCGTCAGATGAGGGACGAATGTTCGCTGCAGAACACGGCAAGACTTTTCTAGAGACTTCAGCGCTCGAGACCGAAAGCGATAGGGATAACGTACATACGGAGTTTATGACCATCCTTACCGGTTAGCTCGTTTTTGATACGCTGATTATGACCTAATTCCCCAGTAGAAGTGTACTTGAACAAGAGGTATCGGGAATTGGACCAATCGACACTCGATTCATTAGCTATGATCGAGAACAGAAAGAACATCTGGTTATCTTTCATGCCGTCGGCTGCGATTATGCCGAAAGCTGCTGGTAGGCGTGCACATTTGATAAAATCCGGTTAGTATAGGTTTGGCAAGTCCTTGTCTCATAGTGGAGCGGTGCAGGGGCTCATGAGGAGAGTGGTTGAGTGTGTACCTCATTTGGTTTGCCAACCATCTCCGTCTATGGCGGAGTAGACGCTGTCCTTCCTATTCAAATATCCAATCCTAACGCAGCCAATGCTTTTCGTCAAGCAACATCTATTGATTCAACCATCTATTGCTCCATGTGAGCCGCTGCTTATGCTATAACTCGCTAGATGAACAGGGTTCGGCATTATATTTCCGATTTCGACGGCGTTGGTAATACCGCAAAGACGCCAGAAGCTTATTCAAGGCGCAGGCCAGTGGCGACCGGTGCCTCGCCCAATTCCCACCATTTCAGCCGACTATGATGGACTACTGGAACTTGAACTCCCCGTCTTCCCATGTCTCTCCTATCCTCTTTACGCGAATTATCCTTCTCTAGCGGCTCCCTCTACGTAGTTGGTAAATATATCTTTGGCATCTTCGTTGTGGGCCAACTCGTCGTTATCCTGGCGTCATGGAGGATCATCAAGTCCACCCTACGGCCGTGGTACAATCCATCTCCTCTAAGGGTGCTCAAGGGTCCCGCCGGCGGCTCCGTCATGTTAGGCCAGATGCTGGCTTATAGCATGCCTTCACTAGAGCCTGATGCGTGGTTGCATCGGGTCACAAAGAAATTTGGACCCGTCGCGGTTATCAGAGATACTTTCAACGTACGAGCTTACTAGGAAGCGCTGGTAATGGATTCTGACTAGTTTGGGTTTTGCAGGTCAGCACACTCTGGACCACCGACCTCAAAGCCATCGCCTATGTCCTCAACAATCCACAAATCTACCATCGTCCCGAATCCTTGCGGTATTGGTTCAAAGAGTTTATTGGGGACGGTCTCGTCTACGCGGAGGGCGAAGCCCACCGCCGCCAGCGGCGCATCATGAATCCGGCCTTTGGAGCCACGCCAATACGAGAGATGACGAAGATATTTGTAGATGTGTCCAGTGAGCTCTGCAGCGAGATGCGCGCCCTATGCTCAGCACCAGCCAATTCAAAGAGCATGTTCGATGGCGCGGTGAAAGAACAGAAGTTCACGGAGGGATGGACAGAAATAGACATGGCAGAATGGACCTCTCGAGGCGCACTGGACATGCTCTCGCTGGCCGCATTCCAATACCCGCTTAACACCCTTCACCGATCTCGCAGTTCGAATGACTATGGACTCTTTCACGCCCTCGAAGATGTCTATACATCTTCTGCTATTAATTTTCCGCTCATGCTGCTGCGAGGATGGATACCACTGCTCCGTTTGCGTATGTTCGAATGGGATGATACAAGCGCACGGATGAACCGCCTCCATGGCTCGGTGAAGAGGTTGGCAACAAGGTTGATCCAGGAGAGAACAGAAATGATTCGAGGGGGCCAGATCAGCGCGGGGGACAGGGATGTCCTAACACTCATAGTACGAGCCATGCTGGATGACCAGAAGAGTAGAAGTATGAGCGAAGAGGAAGTTATTGGACAAATTATGACCCTTATCATCTCCGGTAAGCTCATTCCTGCCGTTCTTTTAGTCGTTGATCCTCTGTTATAGGCCACGAGACGCCTGCCTCAGCAATGGTATGGGCGCTACATTCACTCAGCCATGCTCCAGAAGTCCAAAACAAACTGCGCCTCGAAGCGAAATCGATCCTTCAAAACTCACCTAATCCAACGCTCGACGAGCTCAACTCACTCCCATACCTCGATAATGTCGTCCGTGAGGCGCTCCGCTTGCATTCGCCCGGCGCATGGATGGAACGTACTCCACAGACTGTGGATATTATTCCCGTTGGAACACCCTATGAGGACCGTTTTGGAAATATGCGGGATCATATCACGTGAGTCACTTTTCCTTGCCCAGCTTATCCTGAGCGGTGGCTGTAGGATCTCTCCTGGAGACAAAGTCCGGATCAGCGTGCTAGGTATCAACCGCCGGGAGGATATTTGGGGACCGGACGCGCGTGAGTTCAAGTGCGTCCTCATTCCATTTCTCAAATACATTTGACCAACCTGGTGATCTAGTCCAGATAGATGGGACAACCTCCCACAAGAGGCTGAGAAAATACCTGGTATCATCGCAAACTCGATGGTCTTTTCAACTGGCCCACGGGGCTGTATTGGTTTTCGCTTCGCGATTGCGGAGTGAGTTTTGCTCACACATAGCTGACGTCTCGCTAACCAATACTTTGTGTAGGATGAAGGCTATGCTTTACATGCTCATCCGAGATTTCGAGTTCGAAGCGGCAGTTCCCAAGGAAAAGGTCATTCGTCGGCCTCAGTGAGTCGTTACATTCTCTGCTTATATATGCTGACAAATATGCAGAGTTGTTTCCCGTCCAACCCTCAGAGGCGAAGGCGTGAGTCGCTTGCCGATCCGTGTTCGGCCTATCAAGATTACATGCTTGACATAACTGGATATGGCCATGATAACTTCGTTTCTCATCCGTGGGTAGTGCTGGTTTCTGTTGACCAACGTGACGAGGCGAGGATAGAGACATGTGCAATTGACACGTTGCCGACGATAACGAGCCAGTTGAAAAGTCGAGAGTTTTTGATGCCAACCCTCGAGGCTTGTGTATTGCCTTCATTTATTGGCAATGGCTGTGTATGATTACCGCACTTCTATAAACTGATTTCCTGTTCCCATTGGTCAAACAGAAGTCACTGGATCAAGTTACGAATGATAGACACAGGATAAGTCGCCAATACCTCATTTTGGTCCATCGTGGCTGATGGGCATGCCGACGTGGCTAGAGTGGGCGCCTATTTCCTCCCGAATATTAGAAATCCCTTGGAGATATCGGTATGTGCCTCAACTGATGCGATATCCTCAGCTCGCGCTCGTTGGTGATGTTGGTGTAGGCAAGAGCTCCTGTGAGTCCTTTCATACGTGCATTTCTGTGTGGATACGATTACTCTGGGGTAGTGCTATCGCGGTTTACGCATGACCGTTTTGACCCTGTTTACAAGTCAACCGTAGGATGTGACTTTGGGCTGCGGACAATCAAAATCGATGACCACAATGCAAAGATTCAGATTTGGGACACTGGTGAGCGGGGAAATGCTCTGTATTAAACGTGGCTGTTGAACACTGTCAGCTGGCCAAGAGCGTTTTCATACAATTACGGCTGGGTGCGCAACATCACAATTATGGAGATCATTTAATGAGTTGAATTTTGAACAGACATTACTACCGCATGGAGTGCATTGTGATTGTCTACGATGTTACCTCACGCGAGTCATACATAAACCTCTCCTATTGGATGAAGGTGGTTCGCGAGAAGGCCCAGCCCGTTCGTTCTCTGTCTGTCCCGCTGTGAAATTGGCTGACCAAGTCAGGACGCGGTGATGGCGCTCATAGGTACCAAGACAGATTGCGGACGTCTCCGACAGGTCTCTTCAGATGAGGGGCGGATGCTCGCTGCGGAGTATGGCATGACTTTTCGGGAAACTTCTGCACTGGAAAATGACGATGAAAAGGGTAAAGTGCATGCGGCATTTACGGCCATCCTTACCGGTCAGCCCTCTCTCATTATACGCCGACTATGATCTGATGTTCAAGTAGAGGTGTACTTGAACAAGAGGTATCGGGAGCTGGACCAATGGACACTCGATTCATTAGCTGTGGCTGACACCGGAAAGAGTATCTGGTTATCTCCCTCACCTCGTTCTGGAATTATGCCGACACGCTGCTGGTAGACGTGCATATAGCTTACGAGAGTACTGGGGAAAATAGCGAACCTGAATATGAATCCATACGAACCTGAAACTGGACATCGGATATTGAGCTGATGAGCACATAATGAGTATACGGGTTGTCCATAATTATGCATGCACCGGATACGAGGTGTTATACAAATGAGAGTGAATGAAGGACTTGCTACTATATAAGATATATTGCAACGTCGCACCGAGATACAATAACCATAGTTAGTTTGCAGTAACTCTCTTTCTCTCACCTGCTGTAACAATTCAACGTGGGACCTGAAATAACCACCTGATATCTTTGCATGAATGCTCGATACAACGGGATTTGCATGGTTACAGGTATTCTGTGACCCGTTTCCTGTTGAGCTCATTGATGAAATTTGAACAACTCGGCCAATTAGCCGCGACCATTGAACGCCAATGCGAGGTATGAATAGATTCCTTTGCCTCAGTTGGTCGTTTTGATTGTCTTCGTTTACTGACGTGGCCGGGCGGGCGTCTATCTTCCTTGGCCCTTGACGCATCTGAGAGGGATTGATGGCACAAACTCCATACGATTATCTGTTACGAGTATGTCATCTCATTGGCACTAGTAGCTGTCTAGAGGCGTTTGTATGGGTGTCAACTGATGTGCTACCCGACGTAGGTTGCGCTTGTTGGTGATGCTGGAGTAGGCAAGAGTTCCTGTGAGTCCCTTCATGCAAACATGTCAATGCGGATACAATCAATGCTTTGGTGTAGTGCTCTCGCGATTCATATATGACCGATTTGAGCCCGCGTACAAGTCAGGTATAGGAGTTGATTTTCTGACGCGAACGATAAAAATCAGTGGCCATAACGCAAGGATTCAAGTTTGGGATACTGGTGAGCTACGGTAGTGGTTTGCCTGAAACATCGCTATTGACCAGCGGTACTATCATCCAGCTGGCCAGGAACGCTTTCGTTCGATTACGGCTTCGTACGTGACAACTAGAATGTTGGGTGAACTTTTGGGTTTACTCTTGGGTAGGTATTATCGCGGCGTGGAGAGCATCGCGCTTGTCTACGACGTCACCTTGCGCAAGTCGTACATGAACCTCTCCTATTGGATGAAAGAAGTCCGCGAAAAGGCTCGACCGGTCCGTCCTCACCAGTCGTGCTTCGATAATAAACGCTAACCAGATCAGGATGCAGTGGTGGTGCTGATAGGCACCAAGACGGATTGCGGACGTCTCCGACAGGTCTCTTCAGATGAAGGGCAGATATTCGCCGCAGAATATGGCATGACCTTTCTGGAGACGTCGGCGCTCGAAAACGACAACGGAAAGGGCAACGTGCACGAGGCGTTCATGACAATTCTTACTGGTCAGCTCTTATTAGATAGTGACTATGATTTGATATTCGTATAGAGGTTTACCTACACAAGAAGTATAGAGAGCTCGACCGATGGACCGTCGATAAGACGGTAGCAACGACCGACACAAGAAAGAGCATTTGGTTACCTTTTTTACCATCCACTGCGATGATGCCAACGCGGTGCTGGTAGCCCCGTGCATCCGCCAGGTGTCCGCTGGTGAAATGAACATGGATGAACGGACTGATTTGAAAATAGATTTGGGACGTTGGCGTTGATTGGATGTGGGCCTTGCAATGCCTGCCTGATCTGTCCGCAAAGAAGCTCGCGACTGGCCGAAGGAAGCTAGAAGCCTAACCGCTTCGCGCACCCCATCATTTCGGGGGTTGTGATGGACTGGTACAACTTGAACCTCTCCCCGTCTTTCAATGAATTTCCTATCCCCTCTGTCCTCATTATCCTTCTCTAGCGGCTCCCTCTACGTAGTTGGTAAATATATCTTCGGCATCTTCGTTGTGGGCCAACTCGTCGTTATCCTGGCGTCATGGAGAATCATAAAGTCCATCCTACGGCCGTGGTACAATCCATCTCCTCTAAGGGTGCTCAAGGGTCCCGCCGGCGGCTCCATCGCGTTGGGTCATATGATGGCGTTTAGTATGCCTTCACTAGAGCCTGATGCGTGGTTGCATCGTGTCACAGAGAAATTGGGTCCCGTCGTGGTCATCAGAGATACCTTCAACGTACGAGCTTGCTAGCAAGCGCTTGTAATGGATTCTGATTAATTTGGGTTTTGCAGGTCAGCACGCTGTGGACAACCGACCTCAAAGCCATCGCGTATGTTCTCAACAACCCACAAATCTACTCTCGTCCCGAAGTCTCGCGGTACTGGTTCAAAGAATTTATTGGGGACGGCCTCGTCGTTGCCGAGGGTGAAACCCAACAACGCCAGCGGCGCATCATGAATCCGGCCTTTGGGGCCATGCCAGTACGAGAGATGACAAAGATCTTTGTAGATGTGTCTCATGAGCTATGCGGTGAGATGCGCGCCCTATGCTCAGCGCCAGCCAATTCAAAGAGCATGTTCGATGGCGCGGTGAAAGAACAGAAGATCACAGAAGGATGGACGGAAATAGACATGGCACAATGGACCTCACGCGCCGCACTGGACATGCTCTCGCTGGCCGCATTCCAATACCCGCTCAACACCCTTCAACGCTCCCGCAGCTCAAATGACTATGGACTCTTTCACGCATTAGAGGAGGTGTACACCTTTTCTGTACTCAACTTTGCTCTACTTCTTCTTCGGGGATGGATGCCGCTCCTCCGTCTGCGTATGTTTGAGCGGGATGATACCAGCGCACGAGTAAAACGCCTCAACGACGTCGTGAAGAAATTGGCCAAAAGGCTGATCCAGGAGAGGGTAGAGATGATTCAAGAGGGCCAGATCAACGCGGGGGACAGGGATGTCCTAACGCTTCTAGTCCGAGCTATGTTAGATGGCCAGAAGAGTAGAAGTATGAGTGAAGAAGAGGTTATTGGGCAGATTATGACTCTTATTGTCTCTGGTAGGCTCACCATAACTATTCTTTTCAAAATTTCTAAGTGTCTATTCTAGGCCACGAGACACCCGCGCAAGCGATGGTATGGGCGCTACATTCACTCAGCCATGCTCCAGAAGTCCAAGACAAACTGCGCCTTGAAGCGAAGGCTATTCTCCACAACTCACCTAATCCAACGCTTGACGAGCTCAACTCACTCCCTTACCTCGACAATGTCGTCCGTGAGGCGCTTCGCTTGCACTCGCCCGGCGCATGGATGGAACGTACCCCACAGAGTGTGGATTGTATTCCCGTCGAAATGCCCTATGAGGATCGCTATGGCAATATGCGGGATCATATAACGTGGGTTTATGCTTACCTCCACCCGGCATATTCTGAGTGCCATCGATAGAATCTCTCCTGGAGACAAAATCCGGATCAGCGTGCTTAGTATCAACCGTCGGGAGGACATTTGGGGACCTGACGCGCGCGAGTTCAAGTGTGCCCTTGTTCCATCTCTTAAGAGCGTTGGACTGACAGAAATGGTGATTTAGTCCGGATAGATGGGACAAACTTCCACAAGAGGCCGACAAAATACCTGGCATCATCGCAAACTCGATGGCCTTTTCAACTGGCCCACGGGGCTGTATTGGTTTTCGATTCGCGATTGCGGAGTGAGTTTTCGCTCACGGATAGCCGACGGCTCGAGGACTAATACGTTCTGTAGGATGAAGGCCATGCTCTACATCCTCCTCCGCGAATTCGAATTTGAGCCCGCTGTCCCAAAGGAAAAGGTTATTCGTCGTCCCCAGTGAGTCTTTCTATTCTTACAGCTCTATCTATACCAAACTATCGCAAATGATCATACGTGACATGCTGACGGATGGGCAGAGTTGTTTCCCGTCCAATCCTCAGAGGCGAAGTCGCAAGTCGCCTGCCAATTCGAGTTCGGCCCATCAAGAATATCTACTAGCCACGATTCGGATACGACCATGATCAGTTTCTCTCATCAGCTTCGTTCTTTGTTCGACCTTGTTCTCTCTCTGCGAACACTTCCTTATTCGGATTCTCATCTATGTTCTCGGTTGGGATTCTGTCGACTCCTTTGTTCAACATACCACCTCTTCAGTCGACGTAGTTTTGCGCGGTGGCGTCGGTTCTGTAGCGTTTCGTTTCGTTTGAACCCACGCGTTGTAAACTATCTTCGTTATCGATATGCATATCCCTATTTTCTAATTTCACAGCGCAGTAGACAGTCTGAGACAGTGCAGAAGGTGGAAATAGGTTTGGTGCTTTCTCATAATGGGCTGCTATGCCAGTCTTCACGGATACACGAACGCATTGTTCACAAGTAGACTACATTTCCTTCCTTTCTTCTCCGTTACCAACTCTTGAGCTTCTCCACCGTCTCCTTTGCCTTGGACGAGCTGATATCAATCTGGAGGACGTCCGCTCCGTTCTTGATCTCTTCTGCGGATGGCATAATTCCGAGACGCATGAGCTCGCTTGATTTCATCACCACAGGGTCGCTGCCCATGCTCGCTACGGCAGTCACTTTGCCATCTTTAAAGTACCAGGCAACAAACTATCATTCCATCAATCGTCAGAAGGCATCTACGAGGAAGAGAAGAGACGCACCTTGCCCTCTTTGGGATTACCCTTGATGAAAATGTCGTCGTAGTTGGACTTTCCACCGAGTCCGCAGTACCTCAAACCCTCTATATAGAAATGAATTAGGTTCACGGAAAGAAGAGAGGTGAATGGAGACGTACGCGCGCTCCAGAATATGGGAATCTTAGAGAATGGATGTCCCTTGCCGGCAATCGTCCTTCCAACAGCGCGACCATGGTTTCCAGCGACCTAAAGACTGACCATCAGTGACTGCTATGCACCTGGTGAGAAAGCCTGCGGAGCAAAGACGTACATTCCAATGCTCAATTCGCCTCGGCGAGCGATTCTCCGTCTGCGGGAACATGGCAATATCGCCAATGGCAAACACATTCTCCACACCAGGCACACGGAGGTATTCGTCGACGACGATTCCGCCGTCCTTTTCGAGCTTGATGCCGCTATTGCCATTTGCGAGGAATTGGGTGGCGGGCGCCACACCGACACCCAAAATGATGACGTCGGCTTCGAGGACTGTGCCGTCTTTGAGTTTGACGCCCGTCGCTAGTGGTGGGTTGGCGGAAGATGCCGTGATGCTGTCGACAGACGCTTCCATGTGGAAGGTGATGCCTTTACCGAGAACCTGTGTATAATGAGAATTGACGCAAGTTGTGAAGAAGAGTGACGAACCTCTTTGAGTCCCTCACCAACCTCCTTACCCATAATCATCTCAAACGGGGTGCTCTCCATGCCAATCATATGTACGCTCGACACCTTTTTAGCCAATGTATTAGCAACTTCCATACTGATGAATGACGTTCCGATGACCACGAGTCGTGTGCCCGTCTTGCACGCTTGGTCAATCTTCTGCGCATCCTCAAGGAAACGAAGGGTAAAGACGTTGGATAGATCCGCGTTGGGAATGGGCAGGCGACGTGGAAGAGCACCGACGGCGAGGACGAGTGTAGTGTATGGTAGGGTCAGCTCGGTCGTGTCGCTTTGTGTGGTGTACTTGACGATTTTGGACCCGGTATCGACACTAGTGGCGGTCTATATCCCAGGCGATGAGTCTCAAGCGGGAAGAAGACGGAATGGCTTACGGCATTCGTCTTGAAGGAGACGCCATAGCGGTCTCGGAGTTCTTCTGGGGTGCGCAGTTGGACCTTGGAGACTTGGGTCGGAAGTGCCTTGCTCAGCTTTGTCCTAGAAACTATCAACGTGGGTGTTGAATTCTGGTCAAGCAAATACCTGTCGATTGGGACATAGCTTTCCTTGCTGATAACGGTGATTGGCTCTGTGTAGCCGTTCTAGGTGAATTGAGTTGGTGAGAGATCCCAAGTGCAATCTACACACCTCGCGTAAGCTCTCGATTGTATGGAGAGCTCCGGATCCACCTCCGATGATGACGACTCCAGTGCTCTCCTGGAGGTTGAGCTTCTCCGGAATAGTGGCCTGTCGGACGAGATTGTCATCCTTTTTTGTAAACTTTGGATCTGCCGTGACGTGAATCTTTCCATCCTCGACTTTAGCCGGGAAAGAATGGATGCCGAAGAATGCGGGGGCATCTTCGATATCTCCCGTGCAAGCATTGAAGCATGCGCCGTGCCTACATCTTCTGAGTTACATAAGAGAGGGCAAAAGGTCTAGACCTACCATGGACAAGTGATCCTACCATCGGCACTCAAGACGCCCTTTGCCAATGGCGCTCCGTAGTGCGTACAATATGCGGAGGTAGAGACAACTGTGAACGATCAGTGTCCTTGTAGATATCCGAGGTAGATCTGGACAAACCTTTATCTCCCAGACGGGCTACGAGGACCTTTCCGTCATCAAAGGCGACTTCTTTCCTAGCGTAGATTGATGAGCATAGCTGGGATGATGAGCACATGGGTGACGCACATCTGGCCATCTGCGAGTTGGTTTGCGTCGAGGACTGGGAGTGTCTTTGTGGACATTGTGCGTAGAGATCTGAAGATGAGGACGATGGGAGAACTGGACGGGAGAGGAATCTGCGACCAAGGTTGGGAACAAGACGCATAGGATGATGTAGCCACAAATATAGATTCGATGCAGCCAATCGTATCGGTCGCAATGGCAATTACTGTAAATGGAAGGAGATTAGCAAGCCCCTTGACCCCAACCTCGACACCGACCATTGCCGATCCGCCGTCGTTTGCCGATGAAAATCTGTCGAATATATAGATTTCTGTGATTTCCTGTCGCCGATGGTTGTAGTCCAATCGTCGCTGTGTTCCTTGACGGTCCCTGTATGATTCACCAAGGCCGTTGCATTCCTGCTCGCGCGTCTTCTCCCACTGTCAGTCAAAGTCGGCTTCCCAGCGTATAAGATGCTTCCTCTCCCTCTTCTCCTCCCCCATTGGGGCTGTCCCCGCCGCAAAGTCCTCACGCCCTTTTACAACCCCTAAACGGCCAACTTTTTAGACAACACCACGACAAAGGTTGACCCCTACTTGAAAGCAACATGGACGCTGCAGTCGAACACGCTGGTCCAACAGACTCGACCAGAGCTAGACTCAGACCGTTGATCCTCGTCGAGGCCAACAGGACTCGCACCTCGAGTCTACCGACATCCTTGGAGACAGAAGTGCCATTCTCACGTATCCCAACACTCTCTACACCCGCGCGTATTGTCCACAGACCGACAAATTCGACGGTTAGTTGCTCAACTTCCACCCCATCAGACAGCCTATCAAGCTTTAGCAGGTTCAATCTCCTCCAGCTACTCCAAGGCTTGCCAGTCTCAAGCTTCCTCCCTCACCATTGCAATACCATCTTCCATTTCGACCTCTTGGTGCAGAAGAGGCCGACCCCGCACGCGGCCATGCAAGACGCCTTAGCTCCGAAAGGTTGAACAATCAGCAGGCAACTCTGATTCTCTCGTTTTTTTGACACATTGCTGACGACAAGCAGAGGAAATCGGCCAAGAACTCTGCAGCCCATCCTCTCAGCAGCAGCGCTTCAGACAACTTTCCAGATATACCCGAACTTCCAGAACTCGAATCCACCACTTCTAAATCTTCACCTAAATCGTCTCGCATTTCCTCTGGTTCGCGCACTTCAAATACCACACTCAGCACAATGAGGTTTGGCTCTGTCGATTCCCGTGGGTCAAACGGTACATTTGGACCGTCTTCCCCAAACTCTGCGGCCAGTCTGAATAACGTTACGCAGACGTTGCATTTGCGTGTTTCACTCGACTCGTGTATAGGCTCAGTCGTCGATCAGCGCAGCATCACCGACCAGAGCATCGACGAAATCGACCACGCGGAGATTGTCCGCTCTACACGACGCACAATTTCCATTTCGATACCTGCTGTTCTCGCCACCGTAGCACCGCGCTCGCGATTTGGAGGCGAAAGGAGGCCGTTGGATCGAACTTTTTCATCTCGGTCTGCGCCCGACGTTAGCGACGCTACGGATGCGCACCATTCTACTCGAGCAGATGCCTTTCCGAAGAGGGAACTCGCCAAAAGCGACCAGCCTACTCGACCAAGTTTGACCTTGGCTCAGCCCGCACGCGATCGTGCGCTCTCGTCCCCGCCCAGGCTCGACGCAGTACCGCTCACTCCACTTTCTCCGCCGCCTCTCCCTCCCCAATCGAGCGCGAGGCGGTCTATCCAGGCAAACGCTCCAAATTCTTCCTCTAGGCGCAGCAATATCCCACGCAGGGCGGCACCTCCTCCCAAGATTGATACCACGCCTAGCGAAGGAAATATCCGTGCAGACATGAATCGACCTGCAACGTCCACCGCCTTTTCCAGCATCGTCCATACCAACGCCAGCATGTCGTTTCCATTTCCATCTAAGACGCGCAGGATGATGGAAGCCCCCTTCCAAGCAGTATCCCACACGACCATGGCCTACGCCCTCAATCAAACTTCGGCCATGGTTCTCTCACCTTCTCAGACGCCGAATCTCACGCCGACGAGTACGACGGCGCCTTCGTTCCACACGACACCATCACTTCATACCATTCCCGAGGCGCCTCATCCGTTCTCGACGGTAGCGACGGTCAATGCGCATGCCGTGCCGGAGACGAGTTACTATCGACGTGGGTCAGCTTCGACGTTTGGCACGACGGCGTCGAGTGTTCATGCTAGTCTTTTGGGTGGAGGGCGTATGAGGAGTGGGAGTGGGAATAGTTCCATGACGGGAGGTGTTGGTGTGGCTACGAGCTCTGGTTGTGGGACTGTAGGTGCAGGTCCAGATGGGTTGGCTGTGGGTGGTGGGGTGAGGGAGAGAGTCGCGCGTCGCAAAGGGTCCAAGCTGCGTCGAGTTGTGGTGGGGATGGTCGGTAAAATTTTTGAACGGCGTGCATCCAGTTCTACCATTGTCTAGCCCTGCGTTGTGTTTGCGAGTTTGGTTTTGGACGATACCTGATTTCTTGATTGCATATAGAGTACTTTCCACCGTTAAACCGCGTCAGATGAGGTGCTCACTACTCTTCCGTGACGATGCTTAGTCCGTGAATCAAGCAACAAACCTTATCTATTAGATATGCTCAAAGTCACTAAATGAGGTCTTTACGCTCGACGTTTCTACCATCAAGGTGTCGGGTGGTGGTACGCAAGCTGGTTCCCATCTTCGTTTGCAAAACTATTCTCCAAGGAGACCATACTTTCTCCCCAATACTGTACCCAATAATCCTCCATGATACAAAAGGAATTCGGGGGAGAGCGATACCTTGCTCAACAGGAGCATACATCTGGTGATTTATCCTGTTCAAGTTGAATATCAGATGTATTATACTTGAGTTAACAGATCTGATATGTCTGGGTTCTGTCACAGGGCTCTTGCCCCAGGCCTGGTCGCGGTTACATCTGCTCTCAACCGCTGAGCATTGCTATCGTGTATTCTCCGCCGAGGTTCAGTCGCATATGAGCAGTGTCTTGATCATATGGTGCATCCGTCATGCGCCGTGACCGCGCCCTTCGAGGTCCATATATAGACAATAATCCAATAAGACAATGTCCTGTCGGGAAATATACAATAGCCGAACCCCTTGAAAATTAGAGTTTGAGCCCTTCTCGACTACATAAGCTATGCGGATCAAATGATAAGCAAATGGTTCCTGATGAGCCCATTTGTATCCCATATACAAGGGCAAACCTTTCCAACAACCCCGGAGGGGTACACGTCCTCTCTTCATCGAGACTTGTCTCCTTCGACGTAGGCAGACACGGTGTGCGCCTCGACTACGCATCCTGCTCTTCTGTCGGTCGAAACTACCAAACGCACAATTCGAGATGATAGGCCCCAAGGATATGTCATACATGTACCCAGTGTACCCAATTATATGTTCCATCTGCTGCGTCCTCGACCTCTTTCCTCTCTTCTTTCACTGGCGGGCGGGCAACATTGCGACGATTGCAATGGGTTTATGGACATTCGGTGCCCTCTTGATTGTCACCGTGAACACTATAGTGTGGCACGGGAGTATAGAGAATCGATATCCCATTTGGGGTGATATTGCCACAGCCTGGCTTGCCGTCTACTCCTTCGCCGTCTCTTGTTGCGCCTTCTGCATTCAGTACCGCCTATGGAGCATTGCACGAACGAGGCGAGTGTTTTTCACGCATAAAGAGGTACGTATCTCCTGAACCGAATATCTGAGTAATAACAACCGACTTTTACAGAAGAAGAGGCAGAACTACGTCACGTATTTCATCTGTTATGGCGCACCCCTCATTTTCAAAGTCGTCCACTACGTCAACCAAGGACATCGGTACGACTTATATGAAGATTTGGGCCCACACCAAACCAATTATAATACACCTGTCGCACTGGCCACATACTTTGTGTTTGATCAAATCGTCTGCATCATCGCCACAATTTTCTCTTTTATGACAGTGATATGCATTCTCAAGCATCGAAAAGAGTTCAACGCGGTCATTTCCAGCAGCGTCAAGATCAACAGGAGCCGCTATTTTCAACTGCTCTCCCTGGCTGCCGTAACTGTTAGCATCCATCTTCCCTTTACGCTATGGATGTATGTCAATGACATCGTGGGATATCCTATTCACCCATGGATAAGCTGGGAGGATACCCATTCTAATTGGATGCGTATCGCGTACATTACGCGCTTCATGCTCAGCATATCACCAGGGGAGAAGGTAGCTCTTTCCATCAGCTACTGGACGCTACCACTGTGTGGCATTCTCTACTTTCTCCTCTTTGGCTTTGGCGAAGAAGCGATGATGCAGTACAATGCCGTCTTCGATGCCATTCGTAGACCATTTGGCGCTCTATTCCGAAAGGTTCATCTTCAGCACGTCAATCTTCGTCGAACCTGGCTAGACGTGCTCCTCAGCCGCCCAGGCACATCAATCGACCCAACTGCGGTCCCCATGACAAAGGTGAACATTGTCTCAGATCCAACTCAGCCGCGACTCCTTACCGGAGAAAAGGAAACCTCAAACGGCACTGCGACGTCGTCACGCCCAAATCACAAGCAGAGGTATCGCCAACATGCCACCCAAACCTATGGCGGGAGCGCCTCTGATATCATAAACGACACCGGTGGATACATCCAATATCGACTTCCCGAATCCGAGCGAGGCCAGGAAGCAGGCTCGTCTGGCTGCATACCTACGATCTGGTCAAGCGGCTAAAGCAGAGGCCGGAGCTCAAAATAAAAAATCCAAGAGATTGCGTGCATCCAGCTTTGGTTCCAGCATCAGCTCATTCCCGGGAACCGAACAACAGGCAACCTCATCGCCAAAGTCACTCCTACGGCCAAGCGAAGAGGAGAAAAAAGTCGAAAAGGATATCCCGTCGGACGTTGAGACCAGCTCCTCATCCTCCCGCTGTTCATGCACCTCGTGCAACGCAGAGTTGGTCGAAGAGGATAGCGAGGACATCACAGAAACGCAAAGATACTCAATTGAAGGGAAGAGAGCTGAAAAGGCTTCTATCACGGGAAGAGGGGTAGACGGCAAGCCGGTCGCGAACTTAGTGGCCGAGGAGCGGGACCTTGAAGTAGGTGTGGCTGAGCCCTCGCAAGAGCCATCACCCGGAGAGCTTCACAGATTAGAGCATCTGCGACATTGGCCAGATGCCACCGAAGAAATCACGTTCTGACTAATTCATTGTCACTCACCCATCGCTTCTCCATCTCTCGCAACAAAGCTTCTGCTACGTTCCCGACTGTACCGACAATGAATCGAATTAGACGTTGTAGATATTTTTGTGCTTAACCTTGACTATGCTTACGTGTTTCCAGCTTCTCGACTTGTATGTATGTATTCACAACTCGTCATGCCACACCCTTCATTTTTTGCTACGCACGCATATACATCTCTGAGTTGTTCTCACCTTCCAAAGCGCGGCGTATCAGAGATGTATGAGCATCTGCGTGCCTGCTACCCAACCTCCAGCTCCAGGAACAAAGCAATGGGCCGAGTATTCAAAATGACTTGTTGTTTTGTATTATATAAAACCTACGGGAGTCTAGTGTATTTTCACACTATATATATGTCTCAGTAATTGGCGACAGTAGCTGTCATCATACGACTTACGAGTTCAATTCTATCACACCTTGATCCCCCGTCGCATCTGAGTATTCAAGAATGCATGAAGGAATGGCTCTGCTCCATAGGTATCGGAAAGCAACGATTCTCGCGCCATCAAACGCACCCCAAGAGTACGAAGTTGATCCACCATCTCGAGGAGGTATCCGCTAGCATTACCCCAGTAGGATACCTCGAATCCTGGGTGATCGGGATGCACTAGAAGATCGTCCAATATGATTGTAGTTGGGCGCCGTACCGGTTCTAGATGAATTATACAGCCCACTAGTGACTTGCAATGCTCCCTCAAGTCGTCGATGGTATACCGGAGAATGGTTCTGAACTCTTCATCGACCCAGCTCCATAGATCATTGAAGTTGAGGATGACCAGTACTTTAACGCGAGAGACACGCAGAGTTTCCTGGAGCAAGAGCATCGAGGAGGTGAAGGGGTACTCCAAGTGCTTCAGACGCGGCAATAGGTTTTCGCTTGGGGTAATCTCTGTCCAGAGGTCATTTCCTGCCTGAACCGATGCCAGCGTCACATTTTCGGCGAAAGCGGAAAGCATATCGTCGACAATGTGAAAGCCTGAACTGATGCGACATTCGATGTAGAGGCTGATGAGGGACGGGGCGATGACTCTGGATTTGAATAGGTCGAAGATAGTAGGCGAATTGGGCACGGATTTGTAGTTTGCATACACGTATATATCCAGCCTTTCGATACTTGGGAGTGTCCATATAGTGTCCTGTGGAAAGACGTCGAGAACACCGTATAGCCCAAGAACTTTGAGCTGGGTAAGTTTGGAAGCCGCATTGATAGCACGAGAACAAGAGACGGAGTGACCTATGACTAAGTGAGTGACGGATTGCCAATTTGACGTGCTTCTTTCCAGCCCTCCGATGAACCAGTCAGTAAGCTCGGAATTTTCCCAGTCGAGATAGTATGGCCGAGATAGTGTGACCTGGTGCGTATGATGAGAATATACCTTGAATTGTTCCATTATGATATGAAGATGCGTGATAAGGGGAGAAAAAATGCGTAACACCGCAAATCTATGACCTGTTATAAGCCCTAACCAGAGTTTACACACCAGGCCGATAGTTGAAGACTGGTAGTGCATCTGGCTCCAAATTCGGCTGAAATCGTCAAGCAGATTGAACAAGACTAATCTCTCTCCTTCCATAACGGGAGATTTGGAGGCCAGTGACCGGCGCAGAGTGTGAGAATATGCTCTAAAACCTCGTTCGGAAGGCCAAGTGAGCCGTTTGCAAAGCCCATGTCGTATCGCAAAGTTATGGCTGAGGTCAAATTTGGAGAGATCCTCTACCGGCCACCAAGTATGGCGAGCACAAAGCAGTTTAAGAATATAGGAGAAGACTTGTGGAAGTCTAGAACGGACAAGATAGTGAGGAAACATCCTCTGCCTGGGGCGATATTTACGAGATCTTTAGAACGCAGAGCTATTTACAATGGCATATGGTTCTCTCGTAGTACAGCTCATTCAAGATTACGAAGATTATGCCGAAGTGAACAAGCAGCTCGAGAAAATGTATGTGTATTACATTCATTGCGTCTCCCAGGGGTTGACGCTTCTGCAGGGGATACAACATCGGGACGCGACTGATAGAGGACTTTCTCGCTCGAAGTAGTCTTGGACGATGCGCGGATTTCCGGGAGGTCGGCGAGGTGGTAGCAAAGGTGCGTACTCGTTCAGTCGCTGAGCACTATGACCCACCAACGAGAACTCAGGTCGGATTCAAATCATTCCTCAACATCACACCCTCAGTTGTGCACCATCCAGCTCCAGGGAGCGGCACAGGAACGGCTCAACCCGCAGGAGCGACGCCACGATCGTCGTTACTGCCTTCTCAAAATGCCGCCATACAGGCTCAAACGCATTCAGCTCCTGGTGCATTTTTGTGCTCACATTGGACGAGAATCCATTGGCAGAGTTTGTCGAATTGCCTGAATCTGCTCTCCCAACTGTCGGCGCTGATTCGACACCGACGGGTGGGTTATGGTACAGTAATATCCTATGCGGGGTCTTACGAGGTGCGCTGGAAATGGTTCAGATGCAGTGCGAGGTCGTATTTCTGAGCGACGTCTTGCGAGGGGACGAGTCGACGGACATTAGGGTCAAGTTGGTTCGATACCTAGAGGAAGAGGTACCAGTTGGGGATGACTAAACGAATGGACAGGTAGCTAGAAGCTGGGATAGATACCAAATGTCTATTACATCCACATAAGTACGAAAGCTCAACCTCGTCGCTCCAGTTTGTTGAGACGTCGAGCCGTCTTTGCATTCGAGTTTGTCCGTTGACCTCTGACTGGCAGGCCCATGGCATGTCTTCGTCCGATATAGGTGTTGACCTGCGACAAAATCAACTACTGTCCAATATTAGACGGCAAAGAATACGTACCAGTCGATGATGCATGATATTTTCCCTTACGGCTCTTCGTAGGTCCGTCTCAACCTTGATGTTTCTCAGGCGGTCTCCAAGCCCGACACTTTGTTGCTCATTCTGTGCACGAGCAGCCAAAGAGGTTTCGGATTTCGGGGGTATGGCTTTAATTGCGTTGGTATTCGTTGCTTTACCGGTCGGAGGTGCTACCAGATTTGTATGAAAATTGGGTCGAAAGTGTGGGCTGGCCAGCGGGAGTTTTGGTAGCAATGGAGCATTGGCTGGAGCAGACAAAAAGGCCGTCAATGCCGTCGTTTGTTGCGGAGTCAAGCTCGTCAATGGTGCGTTTTCGTGTATTTGAAGGCGAGCGCAGATTCGACGGGCGAGTGTTCGACCAATTCCGTAGATGCCTGTAAGTGCAATCTACAGGGTATTACGAGTCAGAAACGTGAAAATGCGGCATAGAACGGTTGGACGCACCTTTGCCGGATAAGCGTCCGACAACGCGACTCCCATTATGTAGACCATATTGGATAAAGGCCGTTATATATTGTAGAGTCAAGGACTGGTAGATTTGGTTGTGCTTGGGAGATGACAGTGGTCGAGGTCGTCTCCAAAACTTGAACCACGACTTCGACAAACAAATGTCTGGCAGAAACGTAGACCAGGGCGAGATGCGCCGTCAAGCACTCGAGAAGCAGCGCAGAGAGATGCTCGTTCGTATTTTGACTATCTGCATCCAGCACACCATTGACAATCGCTAAAACAGGAAGAGTTTGAGCGTCAGAAGCGAGCTCTTGTCAATGTACGGTGTCTCTTCATCATTATATATGGCAAGGTGCTAATTATCTGATCTATTGCTCAGGAAACCGAAAAGGCGCGACCTACGGCGTCTCGGTTTGTGGGACAAAACGACACAATGGCAGACTCACTCGTCAAATCTACCGTCGGTCTCGTTCAGCTAGACGAGTTCACACAGAAGAGAAAGGACTTGGAAGAGGCAAAGGCGCGCGAAGCGCTCGCACAAATGAGCTGAAGTGAGTCCTCTCCATTCAGACACGCGTCGTCTGTTTGTCCTTGAGAAAGAGCTAATGCGCGTAGTTGATCCTACAGAGAGGAAAAACGCGTCAAGAAGCGTAAGAAAGTCGTCAAATCTAAGCTCTCGTTTGCCGGAGATGATGAAGAGAATGAAGACGATGAGGGCGAACAAGATGCTGAAGGTATGCCATCACCTGCATGTCATATTCGTTGCTCATATCTTTGTTCGTTGGATGTAGAGCCTCCTTCCAAGAAAGCCAAAAAGGTTGCAAAGAATCCGACCGTCGACACATCCTTCCTCCCTGATCGCGAAAGAGAGCAAAAGGAGCGAGAAATGCGAGAGGCACTTCGACAAGAATGGCTTAGGAAACAGGAGGAAATCAAGGCCGAGGAGGTTGAAGTGGTCTACAGCTATTGGGATGGCAGTGGTCATCGCAAAAGCGTCAAGGTATATCATTTCTCTCTATTATTTCCCATACTCATTCTGTACAGGTTAAGAAGGGTGACAAGATCTCGACGTTTCTGGAAAAGGCTCGCCAACAGTTCCCGGAACTCCGCGGCATCAACGTCGATAATCTCATGTATATCAAAGAGGATCTGATCATTCCGCACCACTACACCTTTTACGACTTTATCGTCAACAAGGCGCGCGGAAAGAGTGGCCCTTTGTTCAACTTTGATGTACACGACGATGTTCGACTTCTCGCCGATGCCACGTTGGAGAAAGATGAGGTATACACTCCTCTAAATGCTCTGCTGGTGCTGATTTTTGGCTAGTCTCATGCTGGAAAGGTAGTCGAAAGAAGTTGGTATCAGCGTTCCAAACACATTTTTCCTGCCTCTAGATGGGAAGTATTCGATCCAGAAAAGAACTATGGAAAGTATACCATTGCGTAATCACCCTCAAATACACATGGATTATTCTGCCGTTGATTGCTGTGAGTCGTTCAAGATCGTACGGGCTACCCAAGTCTAGGACTGGTACCGCTCCCCATTCGACGCGCGATGGAACAAGGGCGGAACCTAAGGCGCTGAATGTGCTGACGCGTAGGCTCATGTCGAACTGGGGGAGATTGAAGGGAGGCAATCCCTCGCGTCTCGAAAGGTGGGTCATGCTACATTGTACACGGCCATCTAATCATCCAGTAGTTGAGGTAAAACATCAAAAAACATTTGAGCTGCCAGTACGAGTATCAAGTGCTTGATCGGGCATCCTTGCCTTGAGTATGCTGATAAATAGCTCACAAAACATTTGGGCTGCCAGTACGAGTATCAAGTGCTTGATCGAGCATCCTTGCCTTGATTATGCTGATAAATAGCTCACAATTCATCAACTCCCTAGGACCTCAAGTGTGTTCAAGCTGGTCGAAGACAAACCTCCGTGTCGGAGAATCCACCATACCGTCGTGTTCCATATACAGTTCTTCCACGAACAATCTTGGTAAGCATCTCGGACAGGCTCGCCATAGCCGAGGTCCTCCGTCAAGGTGCCATGCCGATCTTTTGCGCGCACTACCAGTTCTGATTCCAAAGGTAGATGCAATACCTCCGAAACGGCGATTCAGACCGCCTGCCTTACCTTCAGTGCGGCACTCGCGAGCAAAAGCGGCTCTACGACATTCCTTCAGGTATAAAATGGTACGAAGAGACGACAAGTTCTGTCCATCTCCACTCGAATCACAGAAATGGCTTACAAGAACATTGTCGTCGTCGGGGTACGTCTCTTTCGTTTGTCTTGTAGTTCAACTAAGCCACGACAGGCAAAGGGAAAGCTGGGCGCTCCCTTGATCCAGGCTCTCCTGTCCTCGAAGCTTGCCGACTTTACTGTCACTGCGCTTGTTCGCAAATCCTCCGAGTACGCTGCACCTGAAAACATCGATACCAATCGCTTCAAGCTTGCAAGAGCCAGCTTTGATGTACACGAAGAGCTTGTGGCTGCTCTCAAGGGCCAAGATGCCGTCGTCCTAGTCTTCACGGCCAACCAAGAGCTTTATCCTACTACAAAGGCAATCCTCGAGGCTGCTATTGAAGCTGGCGTGAAGCGTATCATTCCAAGCGAGTTTGGATGGTAAGCGGAACTCGAGCATACCCCGTTCGTGGTTTTGATTATCGTCACAGTGACGAGCTCCCTATGACTGATGGGCTGTGGATGCCGAAACGCATGGTGAACCAGATGATCGACGATGCCGCTAAGAAGAACCAGATTACCTATACGGCAATCAGGAATGGCCCTTGGTTTGAACTTGGTGTGTTCATGTTCGAGCTCTCGTATTCAAAGTGTGGCTAATAATCACCACTCCAGCTTTCGAACTCATTCTTGGCTTCAATCTCAAGGCCAAGACTGTACTGTTCTACGACAATGGAGATAGGAAATTCCACACGACAACTGTCGCTTCGGTCTGCCAGGCCATCATCTCCCTTCTTGCTCATCCCGACAAGTTCGTGAACCAAATTGTCCATATTCACGACTTTTTCGTCACCCAACGAGAGCTCCTTGATTTGGTGGAACAGGAGACTGGGTCCAAGTTTGAAACCAGTACTGTTGACGCAGAAGCATTGGCCGCTCGCGCGGTGGAGGGACTCCAGCGTGGTGAATTTACTCAAGACAATGTTCTTGGTGCCATTAGAACCAGCATATTCAGGGAGGAAGGAAATGCGAGATGGGATGTGAACGACGATAGTGCTGAGTTGGGACTAGGAGGGGTCAGTTTGGTGGAGGAGATCAGAAAGCTAATCTCTAAAGCCTAAGAGAAATCTTTGACTATTCGAATATATAGAACCCCCGTTTTTACCTCTCCCTTAAATGACCCAGGTTCAAAAACTGGTTCCTTATGCGTGATTTGAGTGCGATATTCTGGTAAATGTCTTCTGGGTGCCACCAGCTAATCGGCAGCGACTGCAGTATCCGCGTCTTCTGACTATTGTGCTGAGTGACTTTGCCTTCAGATCTCTTGTGTTAGTGTCTGTGCTTGTAATGCCGTCTGGGTGGAACCGAGACAGCTGCTATTGTTGTCGTACCAAATCCATTAGCTGCAAGCTTGGCCATAAACCACGACCTTTCTCAACATCCGAACATGGAAACTCGCTGAAATGCAGCGAAAGCTGCTAGAGGTCTGTAATATTCCATTTTCTACACTCACGCGTCAAATCTTTCTCAAAGTAATCTTGCTGACGGGCCCCTTTACTTTTTCGCCGCTGCCGGTTGCTTTGCGTCACAAAACTTGGCTCATATTATTATGATATCTTCGAAACGCGTCTTCGTGGTGGGAATATAGCAAATGATGGGGCCAGAGGCGATGGGCATTACTAACACCCACCTTGAATGGTACGACGACAAAGTGTGCAGGAACTTTCTCTGCGGGACGTGTCCCCATACGCTCTTTACGAATACGGTGCGTTAGCTCTATGCGCCTCTTCTGTCGGCTAACCCACAACTCCTGGTTTGTTCAACATCCAGAAAATGGATCTAGGCGCCTGCCCAAAGTCGCACACGGACAGACTCAAGACCGAATTTCTTGCTGCAAAGGAGAAGAACCCCAACGACCCGCGCTTTGAGCAGTTCCAACGCGAATACGAAAGCAACATCTTTGCGTTTGTGGATGAATGCGACAGAAGGATAAAGACGGCTCACAGGAGACTCGAGAAAACGCCAGAAGAGAATGCAAAGACGACCAACCTGGTATGAATGAGCCACGAACACAAGAGTAGGCAGCGCGGCTGACTTACATATCTAGATGCGTGAAATTGGAGAAATCGAACTGGCTATTCAAGGTGGCACGGAAAGATTGAACAACTAGGAGAGCAGGGCAAGGTCGAGGAGAGTATGAAAGAACTAGCGGCCGTAGAAGCTCTCAAGGCAGAGAAGGCTGATAAAGAGGTGTGTTGGCTCTCTGTGACGTCTAGCGTATGCTCAACTACTCGCAGCGAGAACTCCAAAATCTTACAGAGACGTCCGGCGCGTCTGGTCATCAAAAGCTTCGTGTCTGCGATGTCTGTGGGGCATACTTGAGCGTCCTCGACAGCGATCGGCGCCTTGCAGATCATTTCGGTGGCAAGGTGAGTCTTACTTTACTGTTTCCATACGTTTGAACTAAACCGTCATCAAGATGCACTTGGCTACCACGAGCTACGACGAATGTTGCAACAATTCCGAGATGAAAAGGAAAAGCGCCGCAACGCGCCACCACCCCCTAGTTTCAGTCAATGTAAGCTCACCCTGACCTCATGAGCCTCGTCTCAACTTCTTACAGCGGGGTCTGGTCCATCCCACTCTGGTCCTCCGCCTCCATCGTTTGCTCCTGCGGGTGGAGTACCAACAGGACCTTCTGGCTCACGTAGCGGTGATAGAGACAGGGATCATCGCCCACGGACGACTACCACCGGAGCGACAGAGACTATCATCGCAGCAGCGATCATAGAAGCGACCGTGACCGCGATAGAGACCGGCCCAGACACGAATCGAGTCGTTACGAGTAAGTGATTTTAATTCTTTATTTCATCTGTATTGACGTTGTCTCAGCGACAGAAGACGGGACAGATCCCGCTCGCCGCGACGTAACAGATAATTCTTGTCCGATACTGGTGATGTACGTAAATTTTCATCTCAATCCTGAACATTCAGCATGTACGCTATAATTTGTTTGAATTGGGGGCTTTTGCATTCAATCCTCGTCCCATCCACGTTCCTTGCGACAAGACTTGCACTATCAAAGTCTCGGTATGTCTTCTTTTTAGCTCTTATCATGCTACCCGAAGAGTACTGTCCAATCCAGCGATGCACTCCCGAGCTGCTCTTATTGATTTTTGAGATGGTCGCCAATGATGAGGCTTCAAGACTTGAACCATCTCCCAAACTTGCCTTGAAGATCCACGCTACCGCAGGTCTGGCTCTCATTTGCAAAGCTTGGAACAGATTCGTCTTTGCCAGCCCTACATTATGGCCAGTTCTAATCTCGGTCCTAGTAACATACAGTACGATAAAGAAGGAGTACTTCTCGGATCTGGTCAACACTCGCTTTATACCCATCAATGACATGGGTGAGACCATTGCAGGGTGCCCTGCTTTGAAGGAACTGGAGGTATATTTCATGACAGGGACCTCGATTCTTCAAGAGATAGAAGAGACAGGCCTCTGGAAGACGGCAGTCATGACTTTTCATCCGCGGGGTATGAGTTGCCGTCTGCGGTGGACCTACAATCCACAAAACGAGCGAGAGGTTCCCAGGGAGGTGTCTCGATAAAGGTTGATATAATTCTCAATTAGTGTCGGGCGATGGTAGATAATACGCCGATCCTTGTATCTTGAAATCAGAGCGAGATGCAAATGATATATAGCAAACAAGCGTACTTATTCTCGGATGATATGTTACCCCAGGACTGAGCCGTTTCGAGACTTCTATTCATTCTTATGATTATGGTATACGATGAGCTAGGCATGCCGACACCAAGCATCTTGAGAATTCGCTACAACGAACATAATTGTACAAGCTTTGGAAATACTCACTTCAAATATATAAATATTGCTGTGAACTGGACGCTGGGTGTCTCCACCTAGACGCATCTTGCCCTTTACCACGAATTCCTGTCGGCGGCTGTCTGCACTCGAATGTCAGATCTGTTCTTTGGACTAGATCCAGGTTTTTAATACCTGCTCTTGTTTGCTGATGATGTTGATTCGGTTTATTCGCAGTGGAAATACGAGAGGATAAGGTGACACTGCAGAGGAAAATGAATGCTGAATCGCAGAGACAGTACCGGATCCTTAGGAAAGAGCAAGAAGAGAACCTTCAAAATGAAAGTACGTTGAATATGTGGAGTGTTGATGCGACTTGCTATATTGATCGATGGCCCACTTTCCAGATGCCTACCTCAGGCAGGCCGTTTCGGAGGTCAGTAGAGCGCTAGAGGCAAAAAGTAAGTAATTCGAGATGTTAAGAAGCCTCATGCATGCCCGTACTGTTCCCCCGGTGGGCTCCCCTTTGGATATCATTCTGAGGTGATTCGCGAGTCTGGGCAAGAATGCACTACGGAACCTTACTAGTTCACTTTCTCTCAACGACGATGTGGAGCATGATGATGTTTTGGCACTCATGGGCGCTTTGATAGGTCAAAGAGAGCACCAGCGATAGCGCGCCAACTTTCCGTTGTTTCGAAAGAGACACGGAGCGCGTATAGTACGCAAGGCATTCATAAATCCCCCCGGTAAGCGTAATATATATCAAGCTATAGGCAAGCTTTAACGAGGTCTAGCACAATCAAAAATTAATGTAGCTATCCTTGTAGCTTGCAATCAGAGCCAGAAATTTGTCATTTAATAAAATAGAAATAAAATAGAGAGCAATAATATGCTCTAATAATGACTTTACATCGGTTTGGAGCCATTGCAAGACCAATAGCCGCCTTATAGTTATGGCATGCGATGAGCCAGCTAGCGATGTCGACGCCACCCATCTTGAGGAATCGTCATAATGGACATCGATGCACAAGCTTTGGAAATATTTGACCCGGCTCTAGTAAAGTTTGGCCGGGTGCAGTCAGGCGTCTAGCTTCACTCCTTGGCCTGCACCACGACTTTCCTCCCGACACCTGTCAGCACTGAGAATGTCCGATAGCAACTGTGAAAACGATTTCAGTTTGTGATGCTCATCTTCTTACGCTGATAGTCCTGATTTTGTTTCCTGTAGAGGACAAGGCGGCGCTGCAGAGGAAGAAGAATGCCGAATCGCAGAGACAGTACCGGATCCGTAAGAAGGAGCAAGAGGGGAACCTCCAAAATGAAAGTGCGTTGAATATGTAGAGTGTTGATGCGACTTGCTATATTGATCGATTGCCCACCTTCCAGATGCCCTCCTCAGGCAGGCCGTTTCGGAACTCGGTACAGCGCTGCAGTCAAATATCTACGAATGCCAGAGGCTAGAAACCATCCTGTTTTATAATACGATACCACCTGCAACTCAAAACGGGGCTGGAGCGCCTGGTTGAGCGCATAACTTGTCGACCTAAAGCCACATTTAAACAAAGCCTGGACGGCCAAGAGATAGTATCGTTATGTTTGTATCTTTCAAATCAGAGCTGGATGAAATAACATACAATAAGCCATCAAGCCTAATGCTCAGACAAACGTAAACGTCCTCAACCTCAATCGACATCAATCGACTCGGGCTTTTTCCTTTTCTTCTTCTTCTCCCCGTCTCGCGCGCTCCCAGCTTTGCTGGCACTCGCACTACTCCCAATCCGAACGCTCCCCAACGCATGCCCACCAGCGCCCCACGCATACCCCGCTCCCGCCGTCGTTCCGGGTACATCTGGCGTCGCTGCGCCTCCTCGTTCAGATCCAGTTGGAGCGGGCGTAGAGCTCCGCGGCGTCGGTCGTCCACTGAGCGTGTTCCCGCCTCGTAACGAGTCCAAGACTGAGAGCCCGATACCAGATGTCGAAGGTTCGCCTTCTGTCTTTTCCTTCTGCGTCTGCGCTGGTGGCTTATATGGGACGACTGGGTATCCGAAAAAGAGCTGGCCGAATTCGAGGTTGAGTGGTTGTGCATCGGTTGCAGTAGCTGAAGAGGCCATGTCGAGCATTGAAGACGTGATGAGTTTGGGTTTGCTATACGCGCAAAAGGTGAGTAGGATAAATCTCGAGTTGACAGCGAAACTCACTCAGTTCGCTCGATTTTGGACGAGGCGTCAACTTCTGTAATCTTTCGTCCTCCAGTTCTCACTCCTTTACCCTTCGTCTTGCGTCCATTGAGCGTTTCTCCTCGACCCTTGAATGCCTCAAACGCATCGTCATCTTGAAAGGAAAATGAGTACTTTACATCGTTCAGAGTAAGTGGGGATAACTGACCAACAACGGCACCCAGGCTACTGCCTGGACGTGAACCAGAAGGTGTCGACTTGCCAGATGCAGTCTTGCCTCCGTCCAAACCGAGACGAGTTGCCATTGTCTCGATTGGTTTTGGCGGTGCTCTCACCGGCTCTTTCCAGCCCTTTGGAGTCGCAAAATCGACCTCTAGATCGGTATCAAAGACAGCTATACCAGGGACCGGTGCTGGAGTGGCAGATCGCGATGCTGGATAAGGGGAAATGGTCAATAGGGATTTGCTTAGGACAGGTATGAAACTCACATGCGGGCCCACTTTGACTTGTCGTTCGTGTCTCCATAACCAATAGCCCGAATATAATGCTATTATATGAGATTTCGATGATGTCGCCTTGTGTGAGACAGGTAAAGTTTCTGAGAGCTTGTTCTAGCACAGCTTTCGGATCCGAAACCTAGAATCGTGCTTAGATTGGAATCTGTATGATATAAACCATTGTACCTCCACAAAGGACGTTTCTTGAGCCTGTAGCTTGACAAACTTTCCTTTCGGTAACGACGCGCCAGTGATCCGAATCGGATCAGCCTCATTGAGCTTCAAAGTCTTCATCATCTGAGAAACGGCCGTGAGCACCTCGATTTCGCTCCTAGCTCGACCTACCCAATGAGGAAGGAAGACGCATCCTTCGTCGGCGATAAATTCCAAAACACCCGCGTGAGTGCTTGCTGCAGCGTTCTTAGGATTGCGTAAGTTGGAACATCCATGGAGACGGAAAGTTGAGTTGAGACAAGCGTGCTAGAGCAGATGGTGGCATCAAGACTATGACCATGGTCAACGCGTCCGTATTATGCGCAATTCAAAGAGACATACTCTTTCCTCCATAGCTGACATTCTCTCTCGCGAGGAACATTGCGACCGAGTAGGCCTTGTAGTGCTCGTCGAATGCATGCGGAGGAGGCGCTAAGCCATTACCAGCGAGACCACCACCCATGAATGAGCCCATTCTATGCGATCGAATCGGTAGCGAAGCAGGAGGTCCGTCAGCGTTTGTAGGCGCAGGCGCCGTCGTGTCGGAGAGTTGGTGAGGCGTTCCCAAGTTGGCCCAATAATCATTGGATGATTCAGTAGTATCATTCCATACGGACATGTCGTGATCCGCCCATTTGGCCGCACGCCGTTTGTCGAGCCGCCGACGCATGCATTGAGGAGGCGGAGGTACCAGAGAAAGGCGTCCGTTGACCCGTGTTTGAAGCAATTTCAGCCGCAAGTTGATCCATGTTTGTATTCGTGGGCGAGATGGTGGTGTAGCCGAATCGGTGTCGGTTGCATGCAGCAAGTCGGCGTCAACAAGCGTCACGGGAACAAGATTACGTGTTTGAGGTGGTTTTGAGGATTTGGAGTTTGACGAGATTGTCGTGGAGGAGTGTAGAATCGTTGCAGGCGCGGGATTGCCGGGATGCGCGTTAGCCACAAGGGAAGCGGTGGCCATTTCCACAGAGAGAAATGCGGTTTGTGGGTGGATCCAGGAGATGGAGAAACAACGAGATTGGTGTGCGAGAACGGAATAGGTCAGCGTCTTTCCAACGGCTGGCTCTGGTTTCAAACACGACGCGTCATTGCCACTAACTGCCAGAGACAGGCTGGATGCAGACGCGACGCCTGGATGGATGGGTGTGGTCTGCTAAATGGCAGATACACCCATCAAATGAAAAACAAGACATCCAGGCGCAGATATGATCCAGGTGGCTTGGAGAAAACTCACCCTGCAAACTGGGCAAAGAGATTATTAGGATCCTATAATTCCAACCATGTCGTTAGATGTTGCCAGATTTCCACTGCGAGACGCGTGAGACTCGCCATTTTCGGGTCAAATGTGGGAGAGGTCAAGGTTGGCCAGAACCAGTTTACACGGCTTTACAAGTCAAGGCCTATTATCATTTATATCTCACTATTCAACATGTGGTCAACTACTCGGGTGTAGCAACGCTCACTCAACACAGAATAACACCGTCCATCACCCGCAGACTCCTCTCTTCCAGCTCCTCAGCACATGCAGACCAAGCCAGTACATCTACAGATGTACCTAGAGATGCGCGACTATTACGCGCCAACATTCAGGAAGAGGAAGACCGTCTATGGGATATCGAAAACGTCGAAGAAGAGGACCAACGGCACATGAGCAGCTGGGGTTGGGAGATCTTTCATCAGCAAAAAGAGTTTTTCGATCGTATGAGGCTATTGGAGCGCGACGTTCCACGATTCGAAAGTTTGTCAAACTCGACTTTGCACAGTTGGCGCTTTGCTAACTCTAAATAAGAGTACAGGAGGCCATTTATACCGCCAAATCCCAACAAGACATCCGTTCTCGTCCGCTCAGTGACTTATGCTGGGGAACTTCACCATCCAGTCACGCCGAAACGAGTAATCGTCGTACCAATATCGAAACTGCAACTTAGAAATGCGGACGCGATTCACAATATCAAAGTGATCGCAGGTCCTCGTTGGTTTTTGGAGCCACCCAAGGACAGTGGACTTCCGCAAGCTACACGAGCCTGTGTACGCGTCCAAGGCCACCTCTGCTTCGAAGGATATTGAAGCAGAGCATGGATATCAAGATATCCTGCGAATTGTTCCCGAAGGTCCAATGAACTTGAAGTGGTGTATGGATACACTCCGTAAATTGGTTTCCGAGGCGAATGTAAGTTGTTCGAATACCATCAATCAAAGTCCTAACGTCTTGTCTAGGCCAGGGCTACGTCCTCATCACCAGACTCTTTTACAGATATCCCTCTTCCAACAAGGCATCACGATTCGAGATTACGATCACACGGACGAGGTGGAGGGAGTTATAAAGCGGAAAGGAGAAGAGTTACGCTTGCAGACTTTCCAAAAGAATGGCTTCCCAGTCCTCGGTGAAGAGTTGGTCAGCATTTGTCTCTCTTTGGATCGTGAGTGCGACATCACCTGCAAGTCTTAATCTATACGAGTCGCCTAGTGTATGCGCAAAGACGAGTCTGAATACTAAAAGTCGAGTTGGATACTTTGGCGTGCTACGTCTCAAGAAGAGACTCTTCAGGTCGATTACCTCAATTGTCAATCGAGAGACTAGTGAGATGAACTCGATGAGGAAGCGAATATAGGCGCGAAAATAGTAAAGCCGGTCGTCCTAAACAAGAAGCAAGGCGAGGACCCAGAACATTGGAATCAAATGATCCTGCAAGCAACACCTCTTGACAGACTTGCCGGTGACCTCTCGCCTTGTAAACCCAGTCGTTTCCTGTCTTTTACGAGCTATTATCGACTTTATTGGCGAGAACTAAGCTTTGCCCCATCTATATTGTCGATCGCATCGTCGAAAGCGCTCGTTCCAGCAACGCCAGCAAGCCAAGTGTACACAAACATCATGCTCATTTTCAAGCTCGTAAGCAAGGGATATATATAGTGATATTGATTTTATACCTGTCAAATCCTTGGTTCAATGGATACTTTCTCTGACTTTTGTCCAAGAGGGACCGCAGTGAAAATGGGTAAAGTCGATGTCGGTATGGTGAGCAGCAGTAGAGAGGTCAATGAGAGGCGATTGTCCGGCGGTATTGGTGAGCTTCCAGAAGTAGGGTAAGGGAGGAGTGAAATGGAACGAACCGAATGCGGCGCCCCACAGTCTAACTGTGGAGTCTATGGAGCTCGAAATGATTCGCAAGCCATCTGGCGAGAATGCAATGGCGCCGGCCGAACTTGTGTGCCCTTGAAGTGGCTCTTCAAATTGCCGCGTTCCAATTGCGAATCGTGCAGTCTACACGCAGGGGCAATTAGACAACTCGCCAGGTTCGAGACCTTTGACTGCTCCCTGGACTGTCGGAATCGTGCATTAAGACTGGATGTATTGTTACTCTCATAGTTAGATTCGACTGGCTCGTGGAGAATATGCGGCAGAGAGTGGTAGACGCCGTCCTTGACTTGGATTCCACCTCCGCAATGTCATCTCAAAAGTCGACTAAACTGAATCAGGGGCCCTCGAATGCTGCAGGACGATCGCCAGGCAAGAAGGATCAAGTCAAAATACGGCCAGTATCGCACTGGATGTAGTCGCAAACGTAGCAGAGGCCTCGGATATCCTCGCTCCTCTCAAGCAGCCTGCAGAGCAACAAAGTCAATCATCGACGTCAAGCAGGTAAGCACACAAACCCGCATAATGTCGCCTGACGGTTATCATAGGCCATCGACGATAATCAAGGAGACTGGAGTGACCTTGTACGCCGTCTGGAGGAATACATGTGGGCTATTGAGAACCAAATCGACTCGCTCGAGAAGTATCCTCCACAGGATAGGGTTGTCGACGAGGCTTTTAGCCAGCCACTCGTTCGTTATGTCGAGTAAGTAATTGGCACATCTACTCTGGCGCAGTCGACTGATTGACGCAGAGTTCTCGAGGATATTCATTGCGCTATCGTCAATGATAGGCATACGCGACCCCGCACCAGCCACGGTGCTTTTACGGCCATCGGAAAAGTAAAGGTCGACGCAGGGCTCATTCGTAAATTCAATCGCGATATCGAGGACCGGCATAGGCAGTTCATGGTGAGAGCACCAGGCTATATCATCCTAATTTCACACCCTAAATAGGAAGCGTTGGCCCTCTTCACGGGCTACCGAGTTCATGCTATCGAACACAAGGTAGAAGCAGTCTCCTCAGACGGTAAGCTAGGACTTGCTTGCACGACGTTCACTCAAATGCTCCAAGTCGACGCATCCTTTATCCAACTCCCGATGGTGGCATCGCCCCATCCTCGGTCCACAGAACCTGTCTACAAGGAACGCGTCAGGCTGTCCTTCAGACAATCCAGAATTGGGCTGAGGATGATACCTCAGACAAACCAATATTCTGGCTCTGCGACATAGCCGGCTCTGGCAAGTCCACAGTTGCAATGTCGGCAGCCGCGTCCTGCATGTCGAGGGAACACTAGGAGGCCAATTCTTTTTTCCATAGCTAATAGCGATACATCGACAATAGAAAAGTTCTGCTCGACCATGGCAAGAGACCTTGCTCAACACACATTCCCGAACTCGCACCCACGTCGCAGATGCCGTCAAACGGAACCCATCGGTCATGCGGAGTTCGTTGGAGGACAATTCCACACACTCATCGATCCACTCCGTCATCGAGACGGACGCGTAGTTCTTGTCATCGACGCCATAGACGAATGCAAATCTGGACCTCAGCGAAAGGAACTTGTCGACACGCTTGCTAAAGCCGTTCGACAAAGCAAGAACCTCAAGGTATTCATCACGAGTCGGCCAGACGCCGTCATCGAATCGGTTCTTCAACCACTCTCGATCAAATGTAAATTGGAAGACCGGTTGCATGATGTCAAACATCGTGACAACGTAGATGACATCGCGATGTATGTCCATCAATCCCTCTACACTGTTCTACCCCAGGACAAGAGGCAGCGGTTGATTGAGAAGGCGAGGGGATTGTTCATCTGGGCGAGCACCGCATGTCGAATGATCAACAACGAGACGACATGGGAAACGCCTGAGTATATACGGCTCATTGGTCTTATTGGACCAAAGTGGAGACATTGACGACGTATACAAGCTCATCTTCGAGCGGATAGATCCCAAATTCCATACCATCATGTGGAGCATGCTTGCACTACTGCTCGCTGCATTCGAACCACTTACCTCCGAGGATCTAGACAACATTCTCAAGCATAGTAGACTACGGGGACACTTCAGGGTGTTGATTCGAGAACTTGGAAGTGTTCTTATCGAAGATGAAGCAACAAAAGTCATTCAGTTTCGTCACCCTACTCTTGTGGAATATCTGCGACGGCGCTGTCTAGGCCCAGACCTCAAAGAGCCAAGTGGAATGTATATCGACATCGCCAATGCACACGGTCAAATTGCATCGTGGGGTTTCAATAAACTTCAAGCACCGAAGGAAGGCCTCAAGTTCAATATATGTGAATCGTCCTTCTATCGAAACAGAGATGCCGGATCTAGAGGCAAGAATATCAAAGTTCATCAGAATGAACGTTCGATATGCGAGTTTACACTGGCCGTTTCATATGGCCGAAACGGATAGCAAATGGAGAAGCAAGCTCAAGAATGAAGTTGAACATATGATTCGAGTCCCATATGTACTACATTGGATGGAGGTTCTGAGCTTGATTGGAGGACTGCCTCGAGCTATAGATGGGCTCCGAGCTGTGATGCGCAATAGTGTGAGTGGCTCGCCTCGGTATATTCGCATTTTTTAACAAAGGAAAGGTTGAAAAAGAGACTAATGGTCGCATAAATGAAGTGATGCGGTTTATGATGGCATTTTCAGTACCTATTCAAGAGAGTGCTCCACATATCTACATCTCGGCGCTTCCGTTCACACCTACAGGATCACATATGCATATGGAGGGGTTATCAATGTATAGTAACACTCTCAAAGTGACTAAGGGGCTGGAAAAGTCATACCGGGGACTGCCAGAAGCGCTTCGGGGACATACAAAGGATGTCAATGCGATTGCATTTTCACCAGACGGCTCGCGAATTGTTTCTGGCTCGGATGACAATACGATTCGACTATGGGATGCGGAGACTGGCCAGTCGTTGGGAGAACCACTCCGAGGCCACACAAGCTCGGTCAGCGCCGTCGCATTCTCACCAGATGGCTCACGCATTGTCTCTGGATCGGATGATAAGACGATTCGACTATGGGATGCGGAGACGGGCCAGTCGTTGGGAGAACCATTCCGAGGCCACACAAACTCGGTCACCGCCGTCGCATTCTCACCAGACGGCTCGCGAATCGTCTCTGGATCGTATGATAAGACGATTCGACTATGGAATGCGGAGACGGGCCAGTCGTTGGGAGACCCACTCCGAGGCCACACAAACTTGGTCAGCGCCGTCGCATTCTCACCAGACGGCTCGCGAATCGTCTCTGGATCGTATGATAAGACGATTCGACTATGGAATGCGGAGACGGGCCAGTCGTTGGGAGACCCACTCCGAGGCCACACAACCTTGGTCAGCGCCGTCGCATTCTCACCAGACGGCTCGCGAATCGTCTCTGGATCGTATGATAAGACGATTCGACTATGGAATGCGGAGACGGGCCAGTCGTTGGGAGACCCACTCCGAGGCCACACAAACTGGGTCAGCGCCGTCGCATTCTCACCAGACGGCTCGCGAATCGTCTCTGGCTCGCGCGATTATACGATTCGACTATGGAATGCGGAGACGGGCCAGTCGTTGGGAGACCCACTCCGAGGCCACACAGACTGGGTCACCGCCGTCGCATTCTCACCAGACGGCTCGCGAATCGTCTCTGGCTCGGATGATAACACGATTCGACTATGGAATGCGGAGACGGGCCAGTCGTTGGGAGACCCACTCCGAGGCCACACAAGCTCGGTCACCGCCGTCGCATTCTCACCAGACGGCTCGCGAATCGTCTCTGGCTCGCGCGATCATACGATTCGACTATGGAATGCGGAGACGGGCCAGTCGTTGGGAGACCCACTCCGAGGCCACACAGACTGGGTCAGCGCCGTCGCATTCTCACCAGACGGCTCGCGAATCGTCTCTGGCTCGTGGGATAGCACGATTCGACTATGGAATGCGGAGACGGGCCAGTCGTTGGGAGACCCACTCCGAGGCCACACAAACTCGGTCAGCGCCGTCGCATTCTCACCAGACGGCTCGCGAATCGTCTCTGGCTCGCGCGATCATACGATTCGACTATGGAATGCGGAGACGGGCCAGTCGTTGGGAGACCCACTCCGAGGCCACACAAACTCGGTCACCGCCGTCGCATTCTCACCAGACGGCTCGCGAATCGTCTCTGGCTCGCACGATCATACGATTCGACTATGGAATGCGGAGACGGGCCAGTCGTTGGGAGACCCACTCGAGGCCACA